AACCTCGTTGGGCACCATTATTACCTCACATTATCTAACAGAATTAATAATTAGCATTAATAATCATTAATCAATCTGATGGACATTTTGATACTTAAATTGCAGATCTGTTACAAGGTCAGGCCCGTGTTGAGGCTTAGATTCCAACAAAAATAAATGTGTAAACTACATATACGTAAATCAGCTGTTATTCAAAATAAGTAAGTAGTTACCCAGCTTCAAACATATTGTAAGCACTGTCTTTTTCCCATACCTACACTCTCTTTTTTACCTCCTCAGTAACAGACTCAATAATAGAGAGCACAAAGAGAGACATCAAAAGTAACTGATTTCATTTGATTTATTTATTGCAATAAAGATGTACAAAGTATTGGTAATCATACATGTTAAAATGTTAGAAAAAGCATATCTGTGACTGTTAACAGTACAGTATATCAAAACATTACTGCTTTGATCGGCTGGGTCAATTCCATCCACGATTGTGTGAAAGCAGGAGAAAACAGGTTTTATCTGCTTTTGACGTGATGACTTTTTGTCAAAAGGCATCAAAAAGATGGAAATATAGAGACTCAAAAAAAAGAAAAAAAAACACAATTTGCTAAAATCAAAAGGCAACAAAAGAAAAAAAAAAATCAACATGCAAATTAACTTACAACCAAAACCAAAATATACCAAAAAGAAAACTACTGTGGAGAAAATCCTGACCTTAATAAATATCTTTCAATATAATTATTCCACTCCCTCAATTTATGTCATTAGATTATGGAGTTTATTTACAGTTTAGTTTAAGTTTGCAGTGTGGACAACATCATCCATCTTCATGGCTCAACACATGACAGATGGGTACTGAAGAGGAAGGGGGCTTTGGCAAATAATACATAGAATGATGAGATGTCAAATGATGACATAGTGTGACATATGAGTAGAGGTGACATTTGGTTTCTCCAGTAAAACACAGTAGTATTATCTGACAAGTTTTACAATCTATCAGGACATAAATGAAGACACAAACACTATTATTTGGTTGTAAAATATTGACAGGAAGTCTTCTTGTTTCATTTAATGTGACATGTCAAAGATAAAAATCCCCTCCAGGTTGGACTAATACATTAATACATGTGTATATATAGGCATATATATTTTCCTTATTATACAAATACAGAGCAACTCTTGTTCTTGTTTGTAATATTGTTGCTGTGTAATAGTAAGGGAGGGTGAGTGTTCATAGCAGATGTGAAATAAATGGAGTTAAAAGGAGCACTTCATCCACAAAATGCCCATTTGTATATTAATGACTCGCCCTGTTACACTGAATTCCTGAAGAATTTTTTTTTTTCCTCGCATGCCCCCAGTGAATGACAAATCCAGAAATGGAAAATTTCTTGATGAATGGAAGTCGTTGAGGTCCAACAGCTACACCAGATCACAATATCTGTTTAGTCTCATTCATTCAGTCATATGTCCAGTACAAACCCTCTGAACCGGGATATGAGAGCCGCTGCTTGGCTATAGCCTCTCATTCAGCAGCTAACAGCAGCTAACATTAGCACAAAGCACACACCCACAGCAGTGAGCAGTAACTGCTGCCAGGCTGGGTAGCTGATTCATCCAGAAAAACTAAAAGGTCTGTTAGTGACAGCTGTTTAGCTTGTGTTTGTATGACCAAGTTCTTTCAGTCTAATAAATATGAATAAACATCTCTGTTAAATGACAGAGAGCTCGTGGAACGTAGCAAAATCACCACCGACAAAGTGGGAGAAAGTAACGACACTGATACCATGAGCTCAAATGTCAGTCGTATTAACTGCAAGGTTATGTTAAGGACGGCTCCAGTGTGTTGTCTTGCAAACAGAACAAAACGGTTGAACAGTCTAACTCCACACTTCAGTACTACACAGTTCACAGTCTTTTCATGTTTTCAACAAGTATTTGCTAACATGTATAATGTGTTTAGAAAGAAATCGCAGATTTTGCTTGTCTCAGACTTTAACAAATCCATTTCAGTCCGACAGTAGTTTCTGCTTTGTACAAAAAAACAAAAGCCCAGATTATGTTAGTTTTTATTCATTTAAAACTTAAAAGTTCACCCAAACCCGAACAGTCTCACGCATGGACAAGTAGAGCACCTGGGCAAGATTGTGATTTAGAACTCTGCTCAATGGAGTGCACCAGCAGAGTTCAAATGCATGCATACCTTTTTGCTGTTGTTAAATGCAGGGACCTTTCACCCCAATTCATCAAGTTTTTGGATTGTTTCTTCACCAAAGAGGCTTGCTTGGAGGTATGCCTGAAAGTTTTCTTCACTAATTCAACATAACACAGGATGAGTAATTGATATACAGATGATAATTTTGTAGCTAAATTATTCTTTTAAAGACACACTCCTAGATTTTGTTATAGTACGCAATAGGGGCCCCAAATGTTGGCATCTCCTTCTAGCTCGCAATATTCTTAAACCTTTGCTGTCCAAAATACATACTATGAATACGATTCCCAAAAAGGACAGTATGTGCTATATACCAACTGTAGTAGGAAATTGTTTTAGGAGCTACTAAACAAGAGATCAATGTGCTTAATCATTTTGTACTAACAGGAAAACTGACAGATGCCAACCAAATTGTGACTCTGGAATGCCACTGCCAATCAAAGTGGCATTTAAGTGATTAAATGTTGTACTTTCATAAAGTTGGTGTCACTTACTAGCAACAGAGTTTAACTAAATATCTCAACTTTTAGTCCCTAATATGAGTCAAGTATACTCATTAATTTTTACAGTCTAAACTTAGAACTAACTACCTGAACGGGGCAGGGTCTGTTTGTCAACCAATCTAATACCTGAATGGGTCTGACATGGACTGGGTTCAAACCTGACTCCAATGACCTCAACTAAAACTAACAGTGAGCTGGGAGGATGTTTTAACATTTGGGGGATGCTATCGTGTGTTATAACTTGAGCAGGGATTGTCTTTGACTGTGCCTTCAATCAAAAGTTTTACAGTTCCTCACCCAGTACATGCTTTTCACATAGTTGGAAAGTACTCTGGGTATATTTAATACACTTGTGAGCATGAGTGTGTATATAGTTCATGTGTATGTACTAAAAGTATATATACACTCATAACCTCCCCTCACATCACACACATGCATTCATATATCAAAGTCCTGCCCTACACAATCTACAGGTGAAGCACAGAGTAATGAATGATGGGGTTCAGCTGTATGATGCAGACACACAGAACGCTGCACTGTACCAACTGCAACTGACGCAGGAAACAGTTCATAAACATGATGGAAAGCAAAAAGAGACTATGTATGCTAACTCCTAGCGTTAGTGTTCTTTATTATACAGTACATTCAACTAACCTAAGCATTGTGTCACAATCCTCTTTTGAAATTGCATACAGAAAAGGACAGAGTACATGAAAGTAACAAGCTAAATACTAAAACTGCCAGTTCCTGGGAGAAAGGCAGAGAAAAAGAAGTACATTACATTTAAAGAGAACCCTGTTTTATCCCATTAGTTTTGTGGCAGTTTCTAATCTATTACCATAAATCCATGATGGACCTTTCCTTCTAAATTGTGTGGCAGTTTAGATCCTTTCATGTTAACTGCTGACATTCGCAAACAGTGGAAGTGTGGGATTATCCACGATCAACTGTGCAGTAATGTTTTTACTTAACTGCAGTTAAAATCATTATCCTGCTGGTACCATGGTCTCTTATGTTTTCTGCAATTCAAATGGAATTATTAATTTCAGGGCAATGCACTCAAACAGAATATTTATGTGGGCACCAAAGATGCCAACCTTAAGGTGTGCTCAGACTCAACACAGATTTTTGCTTCATGTTATATATGCAATTTAACTGCTGAAGTGTTTATTCGCCTCTTATGACTGCCCAGCCATTCAATTTAAGCTGGCTAGCAACTTCAATTTCCAAACCCTCCATTAACTTCCTATTCATTCTGTATTCTTCTGAAGACTCAGCTTGTTTTCTTTTTCTAGTCTCCCTATTGTCTTGACTTGGAGCTCCTTGGGATAAGCAGGATTTTTGTCCTTGTACTGAAACTTGACTCACTCAGATGTGTCTCTGACTCAATATGGGCTGCCCGGGGTAAATTTGCATGCACTCTTTGCACTGATTTGATAAACATTGGTGGAGCTTTTGAAATTCGCTTTGCATTCAGTCTGAATGCACCTTTAGAAAAAATGTAACTTTGCCTCCAAAAAGTAGCAGCTCAGTAAAAGAAGAAATCAGTCTCTCTGAAGACAATATTGTCTATGACCATAGTAGAGCAGCAGGATACATTCAACCTATTTTAGAACATCAGTGTTAAAAATAGTGAAATGGTCTATACATGGCTTCTGTTGGAGCCATGGTACTCGTAAAAAGGCTACAAGCCAGTGCCTGATGTGCCCCCTATATGAACTGAGGCATGTAGATCCTTTCACATGTACTGTACATGGACTTTTATTACAAGTACTTAAGCAACACAAGCTCATATGCATAGAGGTATATCTTCAGCCTTGACACATTCTAATGTCACATTCTTCCTGCCAGCAAGCCTTGCAGTATGAGGCTTGCGTGTCGTTCATTCTCTATGCCTATCTAGGCTTTGTCAGAATGGGAGACCAGCAGTCCATCATACACTCAGACTGCAAACAAGCAGCCAGATAGGCTTGCAGGAGTGCAAAACTCAAGTCTACTGTGGCACTAACTTTGACAAAGTGGAATATGTTACTGATTGACCACTTCACTAACAAGCAGGCCCACAGTAAGCAATGCAACAGACTAATGCAGGTGGACTATGGGAAGAAAATCAAAATGTATATACAGTAAAGAAGACAATTGTGCTGAAATATTTCTCATAACATGTGGTCAATGGATCGCTATCTGCATTTACCCACAAACCATCCAGCCAGTATGGCTTATAAGAGAAGAGGAACTCATGACAATCATTAGTTCTAGCATTAAGGCATGGTTTTAGCTAGCTTGTTGGATAGAGCAGTTTCTTTTCAGGGGAAGAACCATACATGTGGACACAGAAACACAAAAATTGTTGAAAGAAAGACTAATGTAGTCACTCAGCAGCTACATGGGAAAGACGGTATTTCAACCTGACAAGGTGAATGGAAAACTGGCTTCATATCTTTTCTCATGAACAACAAGATCTTAAATCTAAGACCCAGATAAACATTTTAGGCAATGTGCCTAAAAGACAAACTGTCTTGTGTCGAGAAGCTGAGGTGTAAATATCGTAAATTTTCAACAGCTTTAAAAAGGAAGACTCAAAAGTGAATAAAAAATAAAAACGCTATGGCCCAAAACAAACATGCTGATTAGGGTAAAAGAGAAAGTCTTCATGCAATCAAGTGGACACCCTTCATTAAATTCATACAATCCACTCCTATAAATACAATGCTCCAACTAAGAAGGAATAACATTTAAAGCTCAATAAACTAACTATTGTCCACTAATATATTAAGCAATATTGTCAATCTGGATAGAGATTATAATTCTTTCATCTGATTCAACTGGAAGGCACATCCATAAGGCTTTAGAAGGTGTTGCAAAGCATTCTGCATGGTTCTCTCCCAATATTAAAGGAAAACAACAGGGTGATTATTGCTGCATCACAAATAAAACAACTGGTCCAATGAACTTAACAAGTATGACATCAAGATATTTCATATCACGAGAACAACAACGTGAACCTTGTGCACGACTGCTTTGGAGCCTGAGAGAAATAAACTTTGACAAAAATGAAATGTCATGAGGAAATTAGAAGAAACTAGAGCTACAGTAGAAAAACCCAGACATCTTAGAATAAAAAGAAAGAAAGGAGCAGAGTGGGCAACCTTAAAACCACCCCCCATTCCAACCCTATCATACCTCCATCACTTGTAGGGCTTTTACACATCTCTACCATTATTGACCATTATTGAATTCTTCAGCTTTATTCACGTTACCAGCATTGTTTCTATTAGTTTGCTGTGTTTTCTACCATCTCTGGAGTGTATGTGGTGCACCTTTAGATTAAGACTGGAACTGGATGTGTATGTGGATCTGCTCCCGCAGGCAGATGTGGATGTGAGACTTAAAAACTTGAATTGTGTTCTCCATGTGTATTTAAGAGTAAAAGGTGAGGACACTCTGGTGGTTGCCACGCACCAGGAGGATGGGAGGCAGGTCCTTAGACAACGCCTCCAGCCAGGCCATGTACAGGGCGCTGGACACCGCGCCCTTCCTGGCCAATGGCAGACTCCTGCCAAGAGGAAGAGGAGGCAAGAAAAAGAGAGGGCAATAGTTAATAGAGCTGCTTCATTTTAATTAATTGATACTGCTACTGATGTAATACCAGAGCATCAGTAGTGATACCAAGCTATTACTTCTTTTGATACCTCACTTTTAAATTGATATGCTTCTGCAAAACCCTTTTTGTTCCATTAACAAAACCAAAAATGAAATAAAATAATCACACTTGTCTCAACGCAAGCACATGTTTGAGATATATACCCAAATAAAATACAAATAAATTAATCAAATAAAAGACCACATAAGAACATGCCTAAAATCACCTATCACCTATAGGGGGTTCCCGCACATTTTGCAAACTTTTCCTGGACTTTTCAAGGACCCATAATAAACTTTTTTTTAAAAATATATAAGATTCATATGCACGCACTGGTCAAGTTGCACTTACAGTTTACCTCCATGTCTGTGAAAACATGGATGCTTCACACACATCTTCCCCTTGACAGCACAGAAAATCAATCAGCACAGTTTCAAGGTGGACACCCAGGATTAGTGTCACCAATTCAGTATCTGACCAAATGCGCTGAATAATGGCCAGAAAAGTGTTTTATGCAGAGCATTAAGATGTCACAGTGAAGTCAACCTTTGACCTTTTAAATATAAAATGTCATTCCTTTATTATTATTATATCATTTTAGACATTTGTGTGAAGTTTTGTCATAATTACCATATGAATTCTTGAGTAATGCCCATACACGTTTTGTGATATCATATTGACCTTAACCTTTGACCTATGACCACCAAAGTCTAATCAGTTTATTCTTCAGTCTGAGTTAATGTTTTTGCCTAATTAGGCAAAATTCACTCAAGGTGTTCTGAAGATATTGTATTCAAGAGAATTAGACGGATGCAAAATGCACCATTACATGACAAGGCCATCTGTGTTATTAAAGAATACACAGGCATAGGCACAAACACAAACACACACAAACACACAAACACACACACACACACACACACACACAGCAGCTTACATGACAATGAGGTTGGCTGTGCTTGAGTGCTCCTTCAGCAGCTCGTTGAGTCTGATTTGACGATTAGTCTGAAAAGCAAAACAAACACAAATACAGGTTCAAACATTCAGGTATCAGCTTACCAGATACAGTATTTACCACAAGCTGCTGCAACACTGACACTGAGCCAGCAGTAGAGCTCACAGTGCCACACTGCTGGCTGAAAACGTAACTGTTTTCACATTGTTAATAGAGCCAGTTACATTCACTCGCCTGACTTTTTCTTGGGTAAGACGAAATCATATGGGACTTTGTTCAACAGTGACAAAGTGTTTAAACATCTGAAATCAAAATACACAGTACGATACAGAAAACAGTGAATTATAGTGATTAGCAGGGTGCTGACCTTGGCGCGGTATAGCTCCAGCTCATTGTCAGTAATTCTCCAGGGTTCATTGTTCTTAAGCCTCTCAGCTGCCTCTTGCTCCATGTCATCTTCCTTTAGCCGATACGGCTCGATTATCTCCTCAAAGGCCGCCATGCTGCATAACAACAACAGCTTCATGGTTACCCCCCGCATACAAGCATCATAAGGCCTTAAAGAATACACAATTATATTGCGTTCACTTTTTTAATGTCATCTGACTCCCTACAGAATTAAAATCTGTGTTTTTTTAGTGGAGTTTTGTGTAACTGCTGTACAAATCACTGTGCGGAAAATTTAAAATCTTTTTGTTTATTTCCGTGGATTTTGGCCTAGCTGCTCCTCTGATCTGACAATGCATGGAGATTTAAAATGAGTATTTTTCAGTGGAGCTTGGTGTCACTGCTACTCTGATTCAAGTCTGTATGGAGAGTAAAAACCAGTGTTGTTGTTGTTTTTTTTTTAAACTCGAGTTTGCTGTAACTGCTACTTTGATATGACTCCGTATGAAGAGTTAAAATCAATAACTTTTTCAGAGGAGTTTGGTGTCACTGCTCTCTCAGTGATACACCAGATGGGGTTGTGTAAAGTGATTTTTTTTCCTTGTAAGTTATTTGGTCAAATCATGCAGAAATTTAGAGCATAATGCATAACTGAAGCACTAAAACTTGAGCCTTACTTTTGTAGTTTGGCCCTGGTTTTTATCAATTACAGTGGTGATATTGATATAAGACATTGGTTGGATCAAGGATCTACACTTAGCTGTCAGGCCAACACAGAAGTTGGAAGCAAGTCAACAGTTCATCCAAACCCCTTATTTAAAGATCAAACTGAAAGGGAGCATAGCTGAAATGCTGCTAACAGTACCGCGCTGCAGGATGCATACAACTAAAGTAAGTACAGCAGGCATAGGTTGATTTTTGTGTTCTGCTTGGATTTCTCTTCCAAATAAATTTGACTAAACTTTCCAACCTGTCTGATTGTCTGTTTCTGACTCCTTTTTAGTAATATCACCAAATCGCAAATATTAATTTGGTGAGTATGTTTTTATAAGTGATATCAATGATGTACAGGTCTACAAAATGGAAGCACAAATGGAATGAGCTGTAGTGATCCTGAAAGTTCCAGGAAAAAGACAAAACAACCCTGTTGTGGATCCACATGACCAAAAGCCATGTGGAAATATGTAGAATATCCGTCAAAGAGCCCCATTTCTTTGTCAATGAGTCTGTTGTAAAATCATATAAATATTACTGCTGTAATGATTATTGATCTTGATCGATGAATCAATACAATGATCAGTGCTTCAATATCATCGATGCAAAGTCGAAACATAGCTCCATATCATCATCTTTAGGTAACACCTTTATTTTAAAATTCTCTTTCACCGTCAAAGAGCAGCAGGCAGATAATGGCAAGCAGCCAAGAAAAAAAGACTATAAGGGGTATTGTTGTTTTCTGGGGAATAAATCAGCAGTATGGAAATATTGTTGTTACAGCACATGCTGTATGTAAACAATGTTGTTTTGATTTAAGACAATGTAATGTTACCTGCCTGGCCAGGTGCTAACTTCTGGCTACAGCAACATTAACTGCTCTGTTTCAACAATATTAAGCTGATGCAACATGCATGCAGGCTGAAATCCAACCATGCTGTTCTGTCAGGAGATGCAGCAACTTAAACCAACGGGGAGAAAGAAAAAGTATAAATAATCCATGTAATCTGTTAAACTACAAGTAGAGTAGCAAAGTATGAAAAGAGTAAAATAGATCACGGTTAGGGTTGAAAAGAAAACCTCTTTCAGAAAGGGCTTTCCTATGTGCTGTTTTATGTGCGTTAGTGGAGTCATTTTAAAATAAACTTGAATGCACTTAACCAGTTAGTTATTTCTATGTTGATTTTATCTTTTATGGCCAAAAAAGGGGTGGCAACTTCTTCTCTAATAGACTGCATTAAATGAACACATGATATAAATAAATTTAATTTTGAATTCAATTCAAATACCTTTATTGCCACAGCAATTTGTAAATAAAAAAAGAAGTAAATTAGATGAAGTAATGAAGAAGTAAAAAAGCAATCATATTGCACATGTTGTGGCAGACTTTGTGATTGGCTAATATTGCATCATTCTCTTAAGAAGTGTTAACATTGTATTATGATGAAAGTAGTGATTTACATGTCCAATAAATATATAATTTTTCTTATCATTATATGTTCAAAGCAAACAGAAATGTAATGTAAGCTCTCTTGACTGAGCTGCTAATTCTCTGCTTCTGCAGCCATAATCTACTGATGTAATGCCTTCACACAAACACATGAGGGTGGCAGAGATCCAGTCTTGCACTTGCTCTCTGGCTAAAGCCTCACCCGTTTAATATTCATTTATGCAGACTGATGACAAGTGATTCATGTACTTGAAGGTTTAATATAGTAAAGATAAACTCTATTGATGAAAATCAACAATGGTTTTCTATTGCTTTTGATGTGAGTGATATTCATACAGGAACATCCCACTTTGGGAAGTGTTAGGATAATGCTTTCTACATGGCTGATGGTGGATTTCTGCTCTGCTTCTATGTGCTGCAGGATTTTCCATATGATACCGTGACATATATAAACTTTTTGTACAACAATGGAGTAGGAGTTGGAGGATAATCTTAGAGCATTTTTTTAGATCAACATTGAGATTATGATGTAGTTTAATATAGATAGTCTTTCTTATCTGTATTATTATTATTGTTGAAAAATTAATACGACTCTTACTCAGGTTTCTAGTTTGTAATGGTATTGTAACAAAGTGCACTTTGACTATGGCTCTACCACAAATATATTGAGATAACTCAAAGCCTTATTGTAAACATGCTGTTAACTGTTCCTGCTTCAGCATCCACAGTGGGCTAACCCCCTTCATTTCACCCAGCAGAACAAATCAAGGCACACAAACTTTAAGGTTCTGAGGAGCTGCAACATTTATTCATAAACAAACTGAAACCTACACTTTTACTTTTACTACCATTGATAACTTTACTGCTAATTTCGCCTGAGTAGCTAAACACCTTAACACCTGACCATCTGTCTGCTCTGACTGAATCCACTGCCACTCTCTCCTTCTTGCTTGCGCGCTCAACCACTTGCTACACACACATTACGTAACTCTTACAACACTGGAAAGTGTAAACATGTGGACTGGATTTATCCTGGCCATTTTCACACTGCGAGCATCAAAGTTTGTCTGTGGCGTTTTGCAAGTTGCTCTCTTCATTTACATTCATTCACATTGTCATGAGGAGCGTAGGGCAGCGTGTGTGCATTTCTGACCCTTGGTTGGTTGGATTGTGTTGCATTAAAAAATTTGCTGCTTTTGCGCTTTGAAAATGAAATTCTATTAGATTATATCAATGAAATATGCTTAACTGTTAAGCCCTACAGCAGAGAGAAGCAGGCCTTAATTAGAGACATAATTTCTCCCTTCTCCCAGATGAATAAGTAGGCCTTTAATAATGTGAAACATCTGTTGATGTGATGATTTAATTGACAGTGGCTTAACAGCTGTTGAAAAAAAATGACAAGGTAGAAGCAACTGGAATTTAATTGGTGAATTTGAACAGAAATTGTGTTAAAAATAAAAGTGTTTTCAGTAGAGTGGTGGATATGTCACAACTGTACTGAAAGAACTGGTACTGTGGACATGAAAATTGGTTGAACGCACTTATAGCACAGGCAATTTCACTCTTCTTAAAATTTCTATGGCTTTTGTTAGTGACAGGTCTGTATTTGACCAGATTTTATTTGAGAATTTACACAAAGAGTTGCATGTCCCATACAGCACGCATGGTGATTAAAAAGTAATCTTAACATAGAGGAATACTGGTTAAAACTATGAAAAAGTGACTCAGCTTGTGTGAAAAGCTTTGCTTCTTGGAACTTCATTGAAAAAGACTTACTGCTCCTTCTTGGGCTTGGTGTTTACGTCTCCCAGCACGGTGATGTCCGAGAAGTCTATCCTGAACTTGCTTAGCAAAGTAGCCATCCTGCATGGAAAATGCAAAAAAACAAAGAGCTTTAGGACAAATACTGGAAACTGGCCTTTTCAGGACTTTTCTATCCAAGGAGCTGCGGACAGAGATAACATTACTGAGTCATCCTGGAGGCCAGGATAAGCTGCTTTTAATAGCTCTGTTTGAACATGGAGTTTGTGAGAGGGTGGGGGCAGGTGGGACAAGATTTACTGGAAGTACCGTGGCATTCTGTGTATGAGAGTAATTTCCTTTAGATTCAACTTCAAAGAAGCTGAGTGCTCGAAAGTATCATCTGTCACATATGGACAGCTTTCCACTGTACTGCCATCATATTCTCTTCTGGTTTCCAATGTGAAAACCCAACACAATCATTCAATGTCGTGCTGCACTGATCAATATTTTACATGAACTTATTATTATGTGTAATGTCAAAGATGTTACTCGTAGTGCTGAACTGAGGAATAATGAGGACCAGCGCTGCAGTTCCCTCTCAGCTCTATGGAGCTTTTTAAACCTCTTTTAGCTGATTGTTTACAGTCTGGTTAAGTCTCTCCATATTTGTGAAGAGCAACAATTCTTTTTTTCAGATGCGTAGACAGTTCTTTGCCATGAGGTGCTATGTTGAATATCCAGTGACCAGTATGAGAGAACCGTACCCAAAACACCAAATTTAACAGCCCTGCTCCCCATTCACACCTGAAACCTTGTAACATTAACAAGTCACATGACACCAGGGAGGGACGACGACACAATTGGGCACAATTTGGACATGTTCACTGTGAGGTGTACTCATTTGAGTTGCCAGCTGTTTAGACATTAATGGCTGTGTGTTGAGTTATTTTCAGAGGACAGTAAATCTACACTGTTATACAAGCTGTACACTGACTACTTTAAGTTATGTCAAAGTTTCATTTTTATAGTATACACACACACACACACACACACACATATATATATATATATATATACACACACACACACATATAAAATATTTGCGAAAATGTGAGGGGTGTACTCACTTTTGTGAGATAATGTATACTGTTACCTAAATGGTGCTTTGCCAAATTTAACTTGGCCTTGGGCCAACTAAAATTAGTCTAACTTGTCCATCTAGCACTCCTGACGCCATGATAGCTGTCCTGGCGGAACATGATCCTCAGGGGTTCTTGACCTGGTCACTGAAGATGTAAAAATACATACTAACACAAAGGTTTGTGACAAAATCACTTCACGACACTGACTCCCACGGCAAGAGAGGAGAGGGAGAGATGCTGTGCCACTGCCAGAGGAGCCTCTGAGTGGTAAGTCGCTAAAAGAGTCTGAGAAGTCTGGGGCTGTTTGTAAAACCTTCAGGACGCCACAGTTTATTCCACACAACTGAAGCTACTCCTCTGTTTGGAACCACCATGGAGTCTGTAATAATTGCACTTTCAGCTATGCTTGTTATTGCTGAGAGTAATAGTACGACGTCAGTATGTCAACAAGTCAAAATACTGTAAGTATCACAATATGAATTTTTCATATGAATGTTATGATATGGCACACCCCTAAATTGGGTGACCCTTCAAACTGGCTGATTTTAAAGAAAGCAGGAAAAAGTGAAAAGTTAAACATACACGCTGACACCTGAACAACCAAAAAATGTAAGGAGAGAAAAAAAAAAAAAAAATCAACAAATATATACTACAAATTAATTGCCTATAAGCGAAACAAAACATTGTAGTATAAATCCAATTAAATTTGCGGGTAAACATTGAAGTCTGTGGAAATGGCCAATTTCTGGTTTTACACACACACAAAGGGGATTTCAAAATACACGGAGAGCTGTGCTCAGAGATAGAGGGCTCGGCTGCTAGCACCAAGCTAATTTTATCAAACAAAAGGAGGTAGGAGGCAGCTGTAGGGGACAATGAGAGACAGACAGTGTGAATGTGAGTGGGGAGGACAATAGAAGAGCAGCAGAGGGTGAGAGAAGCCTTTGTGCTATATAACCAGATGCTGTCTTGAAGGTTAGGTTTATGCAGATATAGATAATACTGGAAATATTCAATCCTTTTACATACAAGGATTAGTAAAACATTTTGTTAAATAGGTTAATTTGCCTTTCTGTCAGGGAGTCAGATGGCAAAAATAGTAATCACTACTGAGTTTTACATTCAGAGCTGGAATCAGGACATGGTTAGCTTAGCTCAGCAAAAAGACGGTAGTAGTCTGTCGGTGTGTGAGTGAGTGAGTGAGTGAGTGAGTGAGTGATTGAGTGAGTGAGTGAGTGTGTGTGTCTGTTGCTTACTGACAAATAGACAGATGTCTAAAAATAAATACAATGCTTATGTCCTAAAAAACAATGCCTCCATATGAACCAATGTATTTTGCTCAGGTAAAACAAACAAGCCAAATAAGAGAATAACATATTTATCATCTTTCAACAGGACAGAAAGTAATTCATAAAAATGATGGGGACATACACGACTCACATGCACTGACCACACCTTCTACTACAAAAATGAACAAGCGAGCATAGCAACACACACAGAGGGAGCATGACTTCATACTTTGCACAGGACGTCATCACTCCACTATGTCTTTATATAGCTATTTTAGGGGTTGTACACATGCAAAGTTTTTTGCACCCTCAAATCCGTTGCGGAATTTGACTCCGGTAGACTTGCTCTCATTGTACCAGAAAAGAAAGTTTTCAGTCTGTTTATCTGACTTTTAACATTTTTATTGATTTAAAGCCTACTGCGAGGCCAGATTAAGCGTGTGAGTGAAACACTTACAGGTATCCTGCTAACTGAATGGCAACACCCATGTTAGATGTGTTGTCTTTTACAACCACAATACCCTATTCTTGTGCTGCATTTTGCAGGTCTGCAATGTTTGCTCCAGTGTAACATCAGACAGCAGTCGCCAGGTCTCTGTTCACATATGAATCCACTGACTTTGAAGTCCTGGCGTCACAAATTTATGCCACCCTTCCTGCTGTACTCAAAGATTCTTCAGCTTTATGTTCACTTCTCTGTAGAGCTTGGGTATGGCTGTGTTGGGAAAAAAAAAACACTGGGAGGAGTCACATACCTGGGTTCCAGTGTTTTTAGCATCTAAAAAAAGGCCTTTGTTTTCACAATGCAGTATGGCTGCAGATCTTTGCACATGAAGTAGGTGATAGACTGTGTAATTTTCTTAGATCTCTCAGAGTTGGATGGTAGTTTTATCAAGCTAAGTGTGTCCAGTGTTGGTTGATTTTTCTGCAGAGCTGGTTTACCTTTAGCTTGGAGGTCAGTGGCTAACGCTATCTCTGGATGGTGGAGTGTGAGGTAAGCCTTGATTGTTGTAGTATTCCTGGAGTATTTTTATTCACATGACACTGCTTGTAAATTGCAGGTCTCCTCCTTTCCTTCCATGTTAAAAAATCCAAAGTAAGTCCAAATGTTTGATTTAAACGCAGATGGCACATTTCTGATCTCTTTCTCAGGCGCCTGCATCTTTGTTTTGATTAACTTCCTGCCAAATGCCGCTGACTGAGACCTCTGCTGATCTCACCAGGAAAAAAAGATATACGCACCATCTAGTGGACCCAAAAAGCACTTGATTTTATTATTTCAGTACCAAAAGTTGAATTAAAATGCATATTTGCAAAAATGAATAATGTATATAATAAAAGATTGATACTTGCCGTCGATACTCTACATGCCTTCATAATGGCATGGTAATTAGCAGAGAATAATGAAATCTGATGAGGAAAGCTTTTCCCACAATAACAAGAAAACATTCAGTAAGTGTTTTGGTTTCCTTTACTTCTTGTGTAAGTGACGTTATCAAATGTCCTTGAACACACCACAGGAGAGTTTTCAAAGCAGACCTTGCACTCCACTACATAACCACATGACAACTTTGATAAAAATGATGTGGAGACAAAACATTCACTGAGGCGGATTAACTGTCTGCAGCTAGTTCAGGTCTCAAACAAGCCAATATTACTGGTAAGAATTTCTAAAGCTGTCAGTTGCATCTCATCCTTTTATTAAACAAACTAAATAGCCTTATGTTATTTATCTTATTTACATGACGGCATGTCATTTCTGTCTCTACATGGTCGCGCATTTACAATTCTCCTCTGCTCTCTGTATCATGCATGGTGGAGTTTCGCCAGGATGCGCGCGCGTGCACACACACACACACACACACGTACGTACGTACGCGCACGCACACACAGACACAGACACGTACGAACACACACACAGGTGAGCACACAAGAGCACGGCTCAGGCCGCATTTTCCTGACCGAAGCCGACCCAAGTCCAAGACAATTATAACCAAGCACGGCACTAATGGAGTGGAGCCTGTGTTGCGTTCAGGCGTTGTCACGTAAATAACAAATTCCAGCACTTGATTAGGCTGTAGCACAACACAGCAGCATGTCAAGTGGGCCGAACCCGAGCAAAATACTGTGAAATACAGTGAAACTGATATGATTTTTAAAAAAACGTGATACGAAAATTTTGTCATACTGCCCAGCTCTAGCTTCAAGTCTAAACTTTGTATGGGAACTGGTCAGCAGTAATGTAAATTTAAACATACTGGCTGGTGCAAAACCATCAGAAAGATCCTTTAGTTAATTTGCCTTGTTGAGTAGGCAGTTATATCAACTTTTAAGTCAGATTTCGTTTTTATGTAAGTTTTGCATTTTTATACAAAGATTATTTTCAAGACTTAGAGTCAGTTCAGACTTGAATCAAAGTTTTTGCATTTATGGTCACTAAAAACTTGAAGGTGCAGTGTGAAGGATTAAAGGTTTCAAATTGGCAGAAATGAAATACGATATTCATAACTATGTTTTTCAGTGTGTATAATCACCTGAAACTAAGGATTACTGTGTTTTTGTTCCCTTAGAATGAGCCTTTTATATCTACATAGGGAGCGGGTCCTCCTCTATGGAGATCGCCATGGTGTTTCTACAATAGCCCAGGACGGACAAACTAAATGCTGGCTCTAGATAGGGCCATTTGCATTTTTGCATCAGCCACTGTAGTTCTACTACACACTGGGCACACGGGAGAATCCTACACACTAGACCTTCGCCTAAAATAAAAACAGCCTAAGATTGACCATTTGTCATACAGAGATTCTGTAAATCTGTAATTTCCTCAGTCATATGTCCCATTCTGTGTCCTGACTACACAGTGTCCCAAAGTATGCACCAAGGACATCAATCAAACAGTCACCTTGGAGCAGCCAATTATAAATATGAAAACTGGCAAGTAAAAATGCTTTGTGATTTACAACAAAAAGGTGTGTTTGAGTTGTACATAATGACCTGACATGCCAGACAGTTTGTTACACGGAACCATCTGTGACGCAGTCACTGAAAACTGTTCAGAAAAGGGCAGACACTTTCAAAAAATACTTGGCAGGTGATTGGATGAAGCATCTGTCTATCACCGTCTATCACGGGCTAACTCCAACCAGATAAACAAACCATATGATGAGGAGAGAAAACATCTTTTCCAGTGAGAAAAGCCTTTAGTGCCATTCTCTTCTATCAATGAAGAAATATTCTACAGGTCTACTACAGTTGCTACTATATCTGTGAACCTTGACAGTTTGTATTGAGCTGAATTTGATGCTTTTGTTAAATTATGTTGTTGTTTTATGTCTGTTGGGAGAAGTTTGCCTTCAGGGCTTTAAGCCAGATAGTCCTGAAGTTTTAGGAAAAGGTTTAAAATGAAAAGATTTCTTCCAGAAAGATCTCTCTGACAGAAAGCCCTGAAGGCAAACTATTCCCATGTGCTGTTTTATGTTTGTTAGTGGAATCAAAGTAAAGTAAACTTTACTGCACTTAACAGGTAACAGGTAATTTATATTATTTATGTGTTGTTTTTATCTTTTATGGCCAACAGCAAAAAAGAAAGAGGTGGCAGCTTCTTCTGTGACAGATTGCGATAAATGATTGGATATTATTGTCTCATATCAATCACAGGCCCCAAAATCACATAAGATTTAAATCGCATCATGGCAAATGGGGATGCACGATAATATCAGCACTTCATCAATACCGGCCAATATCAGCTTTAAAATGAACTATAAGAATTTATTGTATTTCATGTCTCCATCTGCTGGTGAGCCACCACAATAAGAGTATGCATGCAGAATATGATATTAATTCCACTACAGAAGAGACTTGATGATCACTAAAATTGGTTAGGGAAAAAGGGTATATACCGGTTACCAGTCAAATTAGTTGTTACATGTCAGAATATCAGATATCAGCAAAAAAAAAAAAACAACAATATTGTGCACCCCTAAGTGGCAGACTTTGTAATATCGGCAAATATCTAATAGTCCAAAGAATCAATATAATATTGCACTGTGATAAAAAAAGTAATTTAAACCCCTATTATCTACTTCTGTTAACCTTCAAATCTGACATGGAGGATGGGGATAGCGTGCAGTACTTACGCTCGGCGGTCATGATCAATCCTGTTGATCTTGCCTCCAATGAAGACACGGATTTTGCATTCCTTCCACCTCTTCTTGTTGGTGAGCAGGTAGGGGATGAGCAGGGTCAGACCTGGACAAGAACATCAAACAGGTTCACAACACAGAGTACACTACATCCACTGTGTCTCACTTTGTTGAAGTTTAAGTACAGAATATGTAAATTGTCAGTGACAGTCATGTATTCCTAACAACAGCTTTGCGGACATGATGATGAGGAGCCAGATTTGAAGTGTCACATGCCACAGTGTCTTCAACATATGAGTCATGCCTCTGGCCTTGTTCACATCTTTACACCCTGCTGATATGACAGAGACCCCAAATCATTATGCCTAATAAAATATGAGTCAAATTAACATATTGGCTCTATCAGCTCCACTGATCAACACTTCACTAAAAGATTTGATGTTTCTAACAGCTGTGGATTGATCTGCCTTTTTCGTTTCTCTGTAATCAGCTCAGACTCCAGTGCCTCTGTGTGCTCCTTTCTATTACTCATATTGTTCTGTGTACATGTATGTCTGTGTCTGTAACTTTTTAACATTATTTTAGTTTATTATTATTTTTAGTTTATGTGCCAAATGCTTACATGCAATGTTCTATATTTTTAGACAATATTCAGTTTACCCAATACAGATTTCTACACACACACACACACATATATATATATATATATATATGTACGTATATGTAATGTAGTGAATCTTCTTGTGTGTAGTTAATAGAGCACTTGATGTAGTGGTTAGAGCACTTGTCGCATGTGGAGGGTCAAGGGTTCAAATCCTGCTGGGGTCAACGTCAGCAAAGGCATGCAGTTGCACAGCCAAATCAAAGGCAATCAGCGTCCTTAACAGGGGCGCTTCTCAAGCCCGTTGTAGACAGGAGGTTCCGGACGTAAAAGTGGATTCATACACAAACATATGTATATATAGATTGTTTTCTGTCTCTTCAAATAAAAACACATTTGCGCTTCTAATGTTGGTCTCTACAGAGGTATTAGCCTACAATGTGATATGTAGTCTTTTATAAAGCACAGGATATCCAGATTTGTTTGTGATCATTCTGATCCAGATCTTTTGACACTCACCATCTGACTGACTAAAATTGACATATTTCTTTCTCCCAGACTCACCTCCATCATCAAACAGCCACCAGACATCCACTGTGCCCTTCCCTTGTTTCTTCCGGAACTGCTGGCTGGCCTCCAGCAGCCTCTGGTCAGACACATTCAGTGGTACAGTTGGGCTCTTCTTGTCTGCAGGGACGGTTGACACACACACACACACACACACACACATACACACATTTTTAAAAAGCATTTCATAGTGAAGTTTTTCAGATTGATCCTCTGCATTCCAGGAAGACACTGGTACTATAGTGTAAAAAAACAAACACACAGAAAACTATCTGCAGAGAAAAGTTCATTTTTAAATAAATGCTTTCATTTTTTTATTGTAATGTTCTTTTGTATGCACCAAAGGCCAAAGCAAATTTCCGTTAAGTGAAAACCTACTTTGTAATAAATCTTATTCTGATTCTGACAGTTTTCATTAATGTTGGAAAGATTTATTGTTAATGTGTCCTACAGTCATTCTGCTGGTCTCTGCTATTAAACAAGAAAAGAAAAGTTATTGTTGTGATGATATAGCATTGTTATATTTATCTTTCAATAAAAAAAAATTGAACTGTATGTCCCCAGTGTCAATTTTTCTTTGGTCTGAACTGGCCTTTAAGGGCCTTGATTGTCCCTAAAATGATTTTGCAACTTTAAACAGTGTGTAGGACCCTGCAGACACCGTGAAAATAAATGTTTGACATATCATTTCAGTTCCAGTTAATGGTCACGGTGTACTGAGATGAACAGATATCAATGACTGCCTTGAAATTAGAAAATGGACAATAAAGGTATGCCTTGGAGAATAGTAAATAATAATAATGATGTAGTAAATAATAATGTACAGTAAAAGCAAATTGTAGTTACTGGGCTAAATCATTCAAGAGCACTGGTGTGGTTAATAGCCAAGTGTTTCTATGTGAAGAGTCATAGAGTCAGTGAAGTGATTGAATAATATCTGCTACACACCACTATTGAGCTACATCATCTGCTACAGGGCAAACCAGAACAAGTCAAATCTGTAGCGTAACTGTAGTGTAACTTTTCATTTGCAAGGGCTTTTGTGAGTAAGTGTGGTCCTTTTAAAAGTTCAATTTTTGCACGTTAAAGTTTTGGTAAAGGTAAGTATATTTCTGATGTATGAATGATGAACACAGGGATAACACCATCAATAACAAGCAGGAAAACAAGCTGTGAGAGGCTCAAGAGTTAGCTGGACAGGACTGGAAACATGAACAGAGGAGAGCAGTTTTCATCCTGGAAAAGAAAGTACAGAAAATCTCCTCCAGAGAGAGAAGCAGCAGCAGGCAAGAGAAAATGAAAACACACAATATTAAATACTCAAGACCTGGAATGAGTTAAAGGCACTATCACATACAGCGCAGCTTCAGAGACTGGGCTTGAGCTACAAGCTGGAGACTGGTAATAGGAGGGCATAAGAAAGAGAGGAAAAGACAAAATGTTATTCCCCAAAGCCAAGAAGCTAGCAGGCCGGAAACATGAAACAGACGTGTAGAGATACAAGACAGAGACAGCAGGGTGCAGGATGCAATGTTAATACAAGGGGATTTCAAAATACACTTTGGAAAATGAGATGACAGAAGGCTGAATGGAGATAAAGCAAAAAAGCAGAGAAAGGAAGAGAAGAGTTTTAAGGCAACACATGAAAGTGGATCTCCTGCCTTTTTTCAACAGGGGCTGAGTTGTAGCTTTGCCATCATCATCGTCATCTGGGAAATGTGAGACAAAAGGAGAGAGAAATGTTGATTTGGTGTGCCATCAACTTACAACCAAGGTTTGTTGGTCACGATCAAGATGAAGCTGAGGACAACTGAACATTTACAGTTATAAACAAATATCAAAAAACAGCACAGACACACACATGGTCCTGAGAAGAGTTAGCTGTGAACTAACAGACTGGAATTCAGATTCATAGAAAAACAAGGACCTTTACTGAGGTTTTCCACTGGCACAGATTTTAACAGAGAGCTCAACTTGTTCCTGCTCTCTCTGATTTCTGGAAATGTCTCAGGACTTTTTTTTTCCCCTGTTAAAGGGGTTTTTTTCTTACACATGAACATCACAAAATGATTTGTGATATTGGGCTTTATAAATAAAATTGATTGATTGATTGATTGACTGATTGGCCAGTTGGTAGGCAACACTCGGGGCTATATATATATATATATATATATATATACACACACACACACATATATATATATATATATATACATACACACACACACACACACACACACATATACATACATATATATACATATACACACACACACGCACACACACACACACACATATACATACATATATATACATATACACACACACACGCACACACACACACACACATATATATATATATACATACACACACACACATATACATATATGTGTGTGTGTGTATGTATATATATATATGTGTGTGTGTGTATGTATGGCATTGACAGATTAAGAGAGATCTCTGAGATTAAAGTTAAGATGATTTTCTGAAAGAATAGCCTTCCTCTGTGTTTATGTTGCTATATAACCAGTTCAGGACACACACACACACACATACACATATATATTTATGATATCTTAAGTGTTTTGAATATGCAAATGTTTTAATCCAAGTTTTATACATTATATATTCCTTTTTCCCCTCTGCCATGTCGACACTGTTTTGTCTTAGTGTCACTATAAACTACAGCTTCTGTCTTAACCATGAAGATAAAGTGGGAATCTAAAGACACTGCTTTGAACTTAGAGGCATCCATAGTGAGGCAGGCTGACCTTTCTGGATAGCTGGACTATTCTGGAGACTGGTGGCCTTGGAGGACGGCTTGGATGAATCTGCGTCAGAGTCCTTACTGGTGTCTATGGACACAATCACGTCTTTCGTTCCTGAGGATTTCTCCTGAGAGGACAGCAACTCATCTGGGAGGGAATGGAATAAGTAGACAGATGGAGAGGAAGGTGCAGGGAGAAGTGAAAATAAGGTGCAAAAGTTTGGCCATCCCTTGTCAAAATTTTGTTTACTGTGAATAGCTATGCAAGTAAAAGATGACCTGACTTCCAAAAGGCAAAAAGTTGGCACATTTCTTCAATATTTCAATCAAGATTACATTTTTATTTAAATCTTTTATAATTTTAAAATAACAAAAGGGAAAAGGGCACCCTACACTGGCAGTAGTGCCCCCTTTGGCAAGTACAGCTTTTAAATGCTTTTTGTAACCAGCTTATTAGGAACAAATGTGGTTTTAAGTTGCTTAAGTATGTTTTTCTATCAAGCTTTTAGTTGTTCATGATACCATTATAATATGTGTTGATTATAAATTTGATTATTTTTGTGTGATTTTGGAGCCAGCTGCCAGATTCTGTTACATGTCAGTAATCAGAAAAATCATACTGATTTTGAACACTTTGCTAAACACCTCTCTGGAACACTTCTCTGTGTGTGTGCATGTGTTTGATACCTTGTCCTTGGATGTGGGACACATCCAGTCCCTCTTTCAGTCGCAGAATGACAGCACCAAACTGGAAGTCAAAGGCATCGCTGAGAAGAAAAAAACACATAAATAAAAGATTGAAATCAGCAGTGGACAGAATGATTCTTGACATGCTCAACTAAACAGAGACTTAAGAAGACACGGATCCTTTCAAAAAGAAAACAAAACAATGCTGAGAGAACTGCACGCACCAAATACCAGCTTCAAACATCAGAAGGTTGAACCTATTAGTGTGTACACTGCCACAGCTACTCACTGGATGGAAAGTAAAGGGTGCATTGCTGAGTGTATTAGCTGTGTTTTTAATATTATTGGGCTGAGTCATCTCTGACCTTCAGCCCTAATGCCATAATCCCCACACTTTACAGTCAGGAACTCATTCATCTTAAGTCCTTCACTCACAGTCTCACATGACTGATTTAGGGTTCAGCTAAGAAAGAGGATTTCACATGGACACACTGTACACAACACTGTACTCCTCCACTGTTAATACACTGTGTGTAGTAGTGCCAGGAAAACTTCTCATAATAAGTTCTCAGTCTGTAATGTTTTAGTATATGCTCACAGTTTTGCTAATCAAGTTACCACAAAGTAGTTCATGCCCCAGGGCCCCCTAACAGGTTAATCCAGCTCTGTGTCTGTGACATCCCACATATGTTTCTGAAGGCTGTGTAAAGAGGGGATGGTTGAGTCCGATTTAAACTGAGACACATTCCCAGTCATTAGTCAATGGACAGAAAATTGTCAACTCTGAAGTTGAAAGTTGAAAATGGGTACACTGCCAAAGTACTTTCTCAAGCAAAAAGGTCAAACGTGTTCTCTACTTTCATAGGCGCTAATATCGTAGGCAACTGGACTTGCTTGCGTTTCTTGAAGGCGTTTCGCCTCTCTCTCTCTCTCTTTCTTCAGTTCTAAATGACTGGTACGAAGTTGCAGGCTATAAACCCTGTGTGGGTGGGAACCCTTGCAGAGTCTTAGGGGTCACGTGAGCTCTTAGTTTCAGAGTTGTTAGGGTCAGGTGGGACCAGGGGTGAATGGGTGTGAAGTCGTCTGGGAAGGGATCCCAAGACTGCATTGTAGGTGGGGGACATTAATCGCACAAGTTATATTATTTAATAAGTCTCATTGACTGACCGTCACCTGTGTGTAACTTATTAGACGGATATATATAGAGAAAGGCGACGTTTAGAGAGCAAGCCCAAATAAGCAACTCCACTTTAGAAACAAGCCCAAAAAACCACAACCCGTGACTACCAATATTTGTAAGTGACTTTACAAAAAAACAAGCCCAAAATCGCGGCTAATTAGCGGACCTGGCAACCCTGCCCTATGCGTAGCACACTAAGAGCTTTGATCCAGCAGCACATCATCCAAATGAAAACAAGTGGTTCAAGCTTGAACGTGCACTACACAGTTGTTTTGCGCGCAGCATTGTCATCTGCTCATTTCATTTGTGTTAGTGGAAATATTAACCAGACTCTTCCACGTCCACGCCAACCAGTTTCAAGGTGGAGTGCCTCCAATTCAGTATCTGACCAAATGTCTTGCCCTCTGTTCCTGAATTTTGGTGCTGAATAATGGCCAAAAAAGTGTTACTGCACATTATGATGTCACAGTGAAGTCAATGTTTGAAACTTGTGAATAACAAGTCATCACTTCATCATTTCTGTGAAATTTTGTCATAATTAATGTATGAATTTTTGAATTACTGCCAAAAATGTGTTTTGTAATGGTACCTATGACCTTGACCTTTGACCTTATGACCACCAAAATCTAACCAGCTTATCCTTGACTTCAAGAAGATGTCTGTGCCAAATTCGAAGAAATCCCCTAAAGGCATTCTTGAGATATCACGTTCACAAGAATGGAACGGATGGCTGGACAGATAGTCAGACAACCCAAAAATATAATGCTTCCTTCGCTGGCGCTGAGGCATAAAATAAATTGAATGCAGATTATCTTGGTCTCCCACAGTGTAAGATTCTATTTGTGGTGGTAGCTGACCAAGGATATGGACATCTGTTAGCGCCCTATAGCAACTCAAATTCAGTCAAGGTAAACCCAGGGGTCTAATCCCAAACCGTTCCAACTCCCTGTCAGATCAACAAACTATCTGTTGCTACTGTTACAGGTTAAACCAAGCACTGCCACTGGCCACCAGCCAGCTTTCACCCCCCAGTGCTGGGGTTTGCGCTGGGTCTATTAAGGTTGTTACAGCCAAGTTGAAGATCTGTCGCCAGAGCTACAACCTGCTCTCCCCCCACAGTAGTAGTCTTCTGGGCAGGGAGTGAGGCAGATGAATTCCCCAAATTCCCAAGCTCAACTTTTAATGGAAATTTTACACATTTAAAATTCCTTAAATGTATCAACCATTTGCAACACTAGGCAGGGCTATAATATATCTGACATATTTCAAATATAGGCTCACATTTACATAAAATGGATTAGTGTATTAACCATTCATCATAATCAAAACACTCCTAACGCAGCAAGTGGAGTAACATGATGATATCTCCTCACAACTACCATAATTCTACCTCAGACAACTTGAGCATGTAGTGACATTTATGTTTAGTCCACAAATGTCACATGATTCAACCTTTTCAGTCCGATTTTAGCAAAAACACTGTCTATATTTGGGCTGTGTCTCTTTGACGGAGCTCCACTTACTGGATCATACTGATGTAAGTCTCCACGTTCATCATGTCGCCATCCCTCCAGTCATTCTTGAAGCCCAGCACCAGGGTGTTCGGCTTCAGGCGACCCAGTCCAGCAGCCTCGAGGGGGAGGAATTCAAATCACAATCAAATAAATTCATTTCCTTACTCTTTTCTAAATATATCTTGTTTTCAGCAACCGGGATCAACCCTTCTCCTGTTTGTGATCAAAAATATGTTCCAAAAGGAACAGCTCAGTGTGTAGTGCGGTCCAAAGAGAGAGAGAGTGTGACAGATAATGTTCTCAGAGCAGATGTGTGTGCAGTTGGAGCTAGGGATGGGCAAACGATCAAAAGTCATTATTCAATCAAAAAATTAATGATTAATTATCGATTAATTGATGAGCAATTATTTCAAAAGAGAGAAAACAAAAGAGTGCAGTGCAGACTGTCGCCGCAAGAGAGCGCAGCTGCCCCAGTTTTGAGCTTGAACCCCCTCGTAGTCTCGTAGGCTCGGCGAGCCGCTGTGCCTACGAGACCCCGCCGGACCTATACCAGACATTGTAGGGGAAACACTGCGACTATCGATCAAAATTATTTGTGATCGATCAAAAGCCTTAACAATCAATCATCTATAATCGAAAATTGATGCCCATCCCTAGTCGGAGCACAGAAGAATTTAGCAGTAAGGTGTGGTTGTGGACTTTTGGTGACTCACTGGTGTTTTGGTGCCAGTTCTTGCTAGTTTTCAGTTTAACACTTGAGACGGAAACTCTGTGACTGATTATGACTCACCTCTGTGAGCACTATGAGCACTACCTCAGTTTCACAGTTTGATTCAAATAAGACCAATTTGTTCAACAATGAATGAAAACCCTCAGAAAATGAAATTGATCTGGAAGTCTGTAAACTACTTCGATTCCTCAGCTGAAGAACAGCATACCAGGACACGACAAAAAGTCTTAAGTGTTCTAGAACTAGTTTTTGAGTATCCTGAAAAGCGCTCTATAAATCCAATGTATTGTTATTATTATTAGTTTAAATTTCAGATGTTAAACCTTGTTTAAGGATGAAGAATAACTCCAGATATCAATACTCCAGATCTTTCTCCTTCATCGTTTAACACAATTCAGTGACCCACACTGTGTCACTGGCTGACATGTTCCTTCATCACCAGAAACACACACACTGTAGTTAAATATGACTTAGTTCCACATACATCATCCTGCTGCCACAAATACTTACTAGAGCACCAAATGTGGTTTAATCCGCTGCTAAAACTAGTCCCCAACAAAGTTTCTATTTCCTCCTGTTTGAGTAAAAAAATGACTGCGTCTTTTTAAAAATAAAACAATATACTTGTGAACCAAAGATTTAGATCTTTAGATGTGAAGCTGAGAGCCACAGACAGAGTAGGAACGCCTGAACATATTGAGAGAAGCACATTGTTGGTGTGGCTTTTTTATGGGATAGATGGGCAGTAAGAAAAATATAAAATAATGCCTCATGTCTTATCTTTTAAATAAGCAAGGGACTTCTCTCCTCAAGTGCCCTGCCCACCTCTTTTTTCCTTTTGCTTTGGATCAATTGTTAAAAAATTATATGCAACCTAATGAGACCATGCATGTGATCGTCGGTAATAAGAATAACATTACTTTGACTTGAGTTTAAATGAGATCTTTTGAGACAGTTTTAAAACATGAGGTAAAGTTTATAGCTTCTTACATAATCAACAGAACAATCAGCAACCAAGAAAAATAAAACATTGGCAACATTTTTCAACAATCATTAAAAATGTGCCATTAGAAGCATGTGCTTATCAACATTAACAAACAGAGCACACTGAGCCAACATGGCTGACTGTTGTTATTTGCTGGCACTTGCTGTGCAAGTCTACAAGAGACTTGAGCAATGCTTCCTTGGAAAACATAAACAGTTAGATGCAGAGCAGTTGCTTGCTGTTACTCAACAGAGGCTAAATCATGTGAGATCTCATTCTTAGCACCACTGTGCTGTACTCCTACCTGGAGCAGGTACTGTGTACCATGCCTCATGTCCTCAGCAAACACTGGTGTGTAGAAGGCCTTGGTCTCATTCTTCAGTAGCCAGCGTTGGTACCGGGTCTGGTCTGTGGCCAGATCTTTGAAGTTTGGCCTCCTGTAGCCCTGGACGGACACACACACACACACACACACACACACACACACACACACACACAGAAAATCTAAGTAATCCCACAGCCCTGCATGAAATTCTGTAGGTCCACATTATCAAGGTCAGATAACACAGAATGTGTAATTTAACCAGATCACATAGTGTAGAATTCAACCTGCAGAACACAGTCCTGCTCTGAATCTCCTCGTTAGGAACTTTGTCTATTTCTGGGGAAAAGAGCTCACAAAGCTGCACTTCAGCCAGGAAACTGTAATGCCATTAGCTGAGAATGTTTACACCGTTTCACTTGGAAGCAATAGAAGCAGGCAGGAGGGCTGATCAGAGGCCTCATGTGGAGGACCGCGTGTTCCACACAGTGCTTCCGGACTGCACAGAGACTGCATTCATCAATCAAAATGGCCTTTCCATTGTGAAGCTTGTATGCCTGGCAGGGGATTTGTAAAAGGCTTTTTACACTGTGTATACAGGAGTGGAACAAACGCGCTAACCGAGGCTCACTGATGCGCTCATTTCTGAGCTCTAAGGTGACTCAGACTGAGTTAAACTGTGCCTGCGCAAAGACAGGTAAATAATCAAAAAACTGTGATGATGTTTTTTTGAAGGGAAAATTAACTTAAAATGAATTCACAATGAATTTCTGTAAAGTAACAACAGACAGCATTGATCAGTAGCTTGTTGCAGCAGCTTTTCTGAAGTTTAAAGTTGGTCTTGTTACAATGCAAAAAGCCCTGATACTAAAATGGACCCTGGACAGCAGAGTCAGCACATAGGCCAATAAAATATGCTGCATAAGGCCCCTAGCTGACTCGTGTTTCTGCACTCTCAGCGGCCAGTGCTCTGTACTCCTTGAGTTGAAAAAACTTCAACTCAGAGCAGAAAAGCACTCCACGTTATCTCCACTTTTTTCTCCATTGTCCAATCAAATGATTTGAGAGTTTCCAATCGGTAAACGATGGAGGAGGAACTGGTGGTGCTCAGTTGCTTGGCAGGACCCGTGGAGTCCCTATAGTTACTATTCATTTTTGTTATGCTAGCCCAATGATAGACAGCAGGTTGTCAAACTGCTTCCGAGTCATCCAAAAATATACCTGTAAACAGCCGTCATGGGGGCGAAGCTCCTGGACTAACTGGTGGTACTCCACGTGATCCACCCCCTTTTTAGGGTCTCATGTACCCACACAGATCTCAGTTTCCCTGTGCCCAACAAACTATTTGCTGACAGCCTCTCACCCTCCACCAAGCTACAGTAAGTACCCTCTGCCTATCCATTTTAGGATAGATTGATTACACAGGAAGGTTAGGGTAAGGAGGTGATGGGGTGGTTGTCTGGCAACAATAAAAAGGTGCAGGAAGTGTGTTGTTTTTTACTACTGGCTTTCAATTTTTAAAAAAGGCAGTGCGGTGCACCTTCCGTTTTGCAACCTGCAAAATGCTCTCTGTGTGATCAGGGCCTATATCAGCTAAGAAAAAGAAATGTCAGTAGAGACATGTAAAAGATATGTTTGAGACCAGGGTCACTGGTTCAAGCCCCTGTACAGACCAAGTATGAAGCGTGGACTGGTAACTGGAGAGGTGCCAGTTCACTTCCTGAACACCACTGAGTTGCCCCTGAGCAAGGCACTGAACCCCCAACTGCTTAGGGCACCTGTCCAAGGCAGCCCCCTCGCTTTGACATCTCTCCATTTAATACATGAATAAGTCCTGTTTGTGCATGTGGATTGGGGATTAATAAAGTATACCTTCTTCTTCTTCTGACAAAATTAGCTACAAGTAAGGAGCATGTTGAATATATGACTTGACTGAAGTTACCAGAATAGGTGGTGGAAAATGGACAAGATATTTAACCTGACCATCAGGCTGTCCAAACATTGGTGTAAAATCACATTACACTGAGCAAGGCTCCATTCAGTGTCAGACAACAAGTGACAACAGTGATGACCTTACTCAGCCAACAGGATCCCAGGTTTTAAACAGATTAATTATGACAGTGCTTAGTGGTCGAATTGAGGGGGGATGCCATCCCCTTTGTTAGAAAATTGACCAAAAAGCATCCCCCTTGTTTAACTAGAATCAGTGTGTGCAGGCATGGAAGTAATTTGAGGGGGGGGACACAGGGGACATGTCCGCGCACTTCCCATATCTGTGCCCTCTGTCCCCCGGCCAGAAAGAAGCAAAAAACCTTGCACAGTTTCTTCCAAACAAACCGTGTAAGTTGAGTAATGCTGTTGCATGTAGATAATGTTCGCTAAATGATGACTAATTAATAGATGCCAATGTATCAAGTTAAGCTAGTTAACAAGAATACTAATGTTATTATTACCTATATTGAATTGCTTGCTAGCTAGTTTCATGCTAGGAATAAACCCACTCCTCCTTAATAAGAACTTGTGCTCACTATTGCTTTGCACATATTTTTTTAATCTTTACTGCCACAATATAAAGAGCAGGGTCAGGAAGGAGACAGTGGACCAGAGGCCAGCAAGGATGATCATGCAGGGTCTTCACAGGTGAGAATAGATTATAACTGGCTGAGAGAAAATATCTATAGCATAAAAGTGACTTTGATGTTAATTTCCACAGCTTCCACAGCTATGTCACCACTACTATTCTTAATTCTATTTATGAAATTTGCTTTGCACATTTATTATCTATATTATTGCAATAGATAGAAGAAGGACAGGGAGAAACCAGGCAGGTATCAGGACAGGGACCTGACAGCAGCACCAATTATCAGACCAAGGCTTCACAGGTAAGGAGAAATTATAACTGGCTAAGGAAATGTCTATAGGATAAGAGTGACTCTAAGATTAATTTTCACAGCTATTTCAGAGCTACTCTTATGAATACTCTAAAATGTTTTTTGTCTGAATTGCAATAGCAATACTACTGCATTATTTGTGTTTTTAAAGGCAGCAGGTATAGGTCATGCCATTTTTCTTTATCTTGATTAATTTTGCACATCTGTGCTATCATATTTGATGATGTGTGCACGCAAAAAAATCAAAGCTACATTGCATCCCCCTTGTTAAAAATTAACAATTCAACCACCGACAGTGCTCCAAGTATGTCCTGGTACAACGTTAACACGCTATAAGTTCCGTACAAACTAACAGCCAGACTCCATTGCAGTAATAACAGTAATTTTATCTTGCTGAACACAGCAGCTGCTGTTCTACCACTGCCTTGATGGGTAGTTTGTTTTTCCTATTGTGTGACTTTGGTGTTTTAAAGGGTTAGTTCAAATTCACTGAACTTTTAATTCAGTTCCCCGTCAGAAAGAGCTGTGTGTTTGGAAAGTACTGAGCATACAACTGGATAAATCAGACTTGGGTTATACTGCACAAGTTATGTGAGTTTATAAACTTATGTTTATATATAATTATAGCTATAATTATGTGAAAACTGGGCCCCCTTTACTTCAATTCGAGATTTTTATCGTTTTTGTTTTTTTCTTCACTGAAGGCATGTGAAAAAAATAGTTTTCTTCATAACTTCAGTACAACACAGGGTGAAAAGATAAAAAACGATTTGAAAAAAAGATTTCAAAAAAATGTCATTTGGGGGGTGAAGTATTCCATTAAACTTCTCTTTCAGTTGGGTTGCTAGTCAATGACATCAGCCTTTGTGGGAAAGACAGTTTGCTGAAGCACTTGCGATGGATATAGATACAGCAGGAGCATTATCTTAATAATCATAAACTTTTTAAACAGCTGTATGACAGCTGCAATATCAGGAGTGCAAAGGGTTCAAATACAGGAGGAATTTTGATTACATTAGTTTCAGTACCAACCAGAACCCCCAATAATAAGTTTAATTACTGAGGGTAGAGTGGAAGTAGGAGTAGGAGTAGGAGTAGGGTTGGGTCGGGTCGGGTCGAGTCGAGTCATCTATTATTGTGTATAAAACGTTATATATATATCAATCAATTTTATTTATAAAGCCCAATATCACAAATCACAATTTGCCTCACAGGGCTTTACAGCATACAACATCCCTCTGTCCTTAGGACCCTCACAGCGGATAAGGAAAAACTCCCCAAAAAAAAACCCTTTAACGGGGAAAAAAAAACGGTAGAAACCTCAGGAAGAGCAACTGAGGAGGGATCCCTCTTCCAGGACGGACAGATGTGTAATAGATGTCGTACAGAACAGATCAGCATAATAAATTAACAGTAATCCGTATGACACAATGAGACAAAGAGAGAGAGAGGGAGAGATGCAGGTAATGACAGTACCTGCATTATATATACGGTATGTATAAACGTTAGAGGGAAGAGGGAAGAGGGAAGGAAGGTGGGCCTGAGGGGGGGTTTAAAGCCCGCAACTCTGTGATAAAATGTCTCCCTCTTTTGTTTTATTTATTCTTGTTTTATTTTCAGTGTTTAAGACGGGTGAAGGTAGCCGGAGTACTGCTGTATGACGGTAACCAAAAAAGCAGTACCACGGCTCATGTTTACTACAGTATGTTACCGTCACCGCGAATACCGCCCAGCCTTGTGTTGTGTTGTGTTGTGAGCATAGTGGGTCTCTGAAGCTATTTAAAACCACTTGTGTTGTGTTGTATAATTTCATAACTACAAAAGGCAAAAGAGCAGAGTATCAACTTACTGTGCGAATATGTCCACAGATCATCAGGCCTACGTTCTTAGTAAAGGTGTGGACCAGGTCGAGAAGAGCTGGACGAGAGTTTGGGTAACCAGTCATCACCAAACACTGGGGTCTATAGTCAGACACATCCAAGAGCAAACATCAAGACGTCAGCATCTATGACCTTCAGTCAGTTTCTTAACACAGGTTCAAAAAAACAAACTGGTGCAGAGTAGCGCACATCAAAGCAAATATGTTAAGCACCGTGGGATTTAATGAAGTAGTGAGACGAGACAAAAGGGAGCTCAGAGGAACACACGTGTCATGCTGAAGATACCATCAGATGTGTTTTAATCCTCTGCTTGGTTTGCTGCCATGGGAACAGTCCAAAGGAACATTATCACCATTACATACTAAAAATTACCACATGTACAAGCTTTCAGAAAATAAAGACATGTACTATTGGTTGATAGAGAAATAATTAGTGTACCTCAAATTGAATACTTCTGAAGACTTAATATTTTGACTGCACAAGTGCGCTAAGTGCATTCACAAAAAAAAAATACAGTGTACTACTGGTGCAATCAAAATGGTCCAAATGTTGAGTGTGGAATGTACTTCTCAACCTCAACAGACACCATCTTTGTGATGTAGCAGAAGAGGCTGGGGAGCCAGCCACAATGAACGCTGCCGCATTGTACAGATTTAAGTTACACATGTTTGTTGGGTCTGTAATGATTTGGTAACGTAAACAATGATGCGAGCGCTAACGTTAGCTTGCTTGCTAATGTTAGCATTCACTAGCTAGCTAACTTGCTAATTAGCTACAGCGGCACATTTTAAAGAGCACTGATGTTTTGGTGTAAGTTTGGTTTATGTTTGGGTGGCGAGAGCGGTCAAATGTTAGCAATAATGCTCCAACATCCACTTGCAATTCACCATTTAAAAAGAAGAAAAAGAAAAGGAGGAAGCAGAAGAAGAACAAGAACAAGAAGAACAAGAAAAAAAGTGATTAAAAAATGAAGTTGTCATCACTTCCAGTAGCCTAATTGCAAAATGGCAGAGTGCAATTTGAGACAACAATGCCCCATTAAAATTAGTGCACCATGAAAGAAGTACGTAGTGTACATAGAGCACTACACTAAAGTGACTAACGGAAGTATAAAATATGAGACACACGTAGTAGCACGTGCTTAGGGGTGTTTTGCTTGCTATGGTCTCCACTTTCACACATTTCTGTGAGATGCCAAAACTGTACAACTGTTTCATGAAATACATACAATACATGGCTCGCAAAAGGAGTGCTTTAATATTCATTATCCAGCAACTTACAGGGGAATCAAACCTTACCAAGCTGTGATTCTCAACCAACAAAATAAGTTTTTGAAGTTTAGCCATGATGCGCAATACATGGTGTCTCATGTGACAGCAACAATAACAATTTCCTTAGGTCCACAACTTGATAATCTGATCAAGTTATAATCTAATAATAAACCACTTTTGACAAGCCTAACCCCAAACATTTGTAGGGCTGAGTATCAAAATATTTTTTTCAGTAATGACCAAGATGTGTCTGTAGTACAATAAGTTGGCATGTAATGCCTGTCTTAGGGCTTGTTTACTTATCCTGTGATCAGATAGTTCCTGATCTAAATCAGGAGCTTTAACAACTTTACACTATTTAATTAAAGCAACACTTACCTTTCTTTTCTTTGTTTAGGTTAAAATGCTATTAATAAGCTGAAGGCACACTAAAATGTAAGTGAATTCCACCAGAGATGAAAACTCATAATTATACCATTCTCATATGGTTCTAAGAAAACTCCGACCAATCACTGCATTCGGACCGAATGCAATGATTGGTCGGAGTTTTCTCCTGTCCTGTCTGTCTTCCCCATGTGGAGGCCTCCGACTGACGTAACCGCTTGCGTAATTACCCCCCACACCCTCCACCCCTGAGTCTGAGACAACAAACAGGTTAGTAACAGGGACCCTTGTGGATATAAACTTTTCTCCTTAACAAAAGCAAACAAATGTGTACCACCACTTCCACCTCCAGCCGCTCCAACAGGGAAATCAGTTGGCAAAAGAAAGAAACGATGCAACAAGAAGTAAATTCATCAGTGCAATACAGTCGCGAGTTTCTAACAGACATTAGAAACTGCTGCAGAGATCTAACGCTACAACAAGAGAGCTCAGGATGTGTAGCAAGCTTGGCCTGCTACATCGAGCTAGTCCTGAGATGACCGTGGTTTCGCCTGGAGCTGTCCCAACGGGGAGACGCCGGCAGCGTTGTGATAGGACGCGGGAGCGGGGGAAGCGCGGAGGGATTAGCTAGGCTAAGAGCTAACCCCAACAAACCAGCTGTTCCCAGTGTCCTTCTGGCGAATATCCGCTCACTGGACATGAAAATGGATTACATCTGACTATGGAGATCCACTAACTGAGGAGTGAGGGACTGATGCGTCCTTGTGTTCACTGAGACATGGATGAATGGTAACATATCAGACGCCGGTGTTGAGCTAACGGGGCTAACACTACACAGAGCAGACAGGACAGCAGCATCATCTGGTAAGCTCCGTGGTGTATACACAAACAATTCATGGTGCTGTGATGTGAAGAGGATCTCCCAGTTCTGCTCTCAGGATGTGGAGTTTTTGTTTTGTTTGCTTGGGGTATGCAAAATGTCATTTCGTTTTTGTGCTGGTTCAGTTCAGTTCATAACGTTATATATGACAACACAGCATCCAGTTGCTAATGGCTAACGTTAGCCTACTGTAGCGTAGCCTCTGAAACATAAATGTTATCTTCCTTGTGCGTTTCCACTTACTAGTAACGTTAACACTACTATCTAAAGTTAGCACTGTAACCATATTCTAAAACTCATCAGTCATCACTGACTAAGGTTGAGTTTTAAAACTCAGGGGTTGCGTTTGACTGTCTTTGTTGTAACATTACACTCGCTCTCCTCTTCCGTGTATCTAACGTCTATAATGAAGACGTAATGGAGGGAGGTGGAGCTGCAGGAGGAGGAGGATGGGACTTTGGAGGGAGGCGGGAGTTGTGGATGTTCAAATTTTTCAAAAGTGATGTGTGAAATGCAAGAAAGGTAAGAGTTGCTTTAAGGTTAAGGTCTTTCTTTAAAATTGATGCCAAATAACCAATAAATAAGCCTCATACAACATCAAGAAGGGATGCACATTATCAGCACATCATCGTTATTGGCCAACATTGGCTTTAAAATTAGCTATCAGAATCAGCCAACATGTTTCTATTTTGCACAATGAATGAATATCACTTTAGTTGAAAAGTATTGTATTTCATGTCTCCATCTGCTTGTAGGCCATCAAGATAAGAGTGTGCATGCATAATATGATGTTAATTCCACTATAGAAGAGACCTGATGATCACTAAAATTAGGTGGGGCAAAAGTGGATATATTGATATTGGTATCGGTTATCGGCCAAATAATCCAATATCATGCATTCCTAAAGTCAGGGAATAATGCATGGCCCTATTCCTTTATGGAAGCAGTTGTGATCTGTCACATACATTATTAGCCATTTTTCCATAAATGTTCATTAATGTCAAATATGAAGTAAGTAGGCTTTTCTATGCTCTGATGACTGCAGCATTTGTTCGTGTGTCAAACATTATTCTTTCACTAATATTTTAGCACATAACAGACGATCCATCCGACTGGCATGGTAATATATATGTGTTAAAATATTAGCATGCATTGCCTTAACTCAGTGTTCCTACAGTCTGATAAGATTAGTAGATTTTTTCATCAGACACTGTCTGGTCCAGCTTTAATGACCGTAACTACAGCTGTGTGTAGTAAGAATGTAGGGGTGCTTCTTTGTGTTTTGTACCTGAAGTTCTTGACGTGGTCCTCTACTCCACTGAGGTGCAGAGTGTGGGTCAGGGCCTGGTGATAGGTCAGAGCCTGGGTCGATGAGCCCCAGTTCACATCTGGAGGGGGAGGACGCATGCAGGCAGAAACACACAGTGCAGTTGGGAAGTTTGTTTATGGGTTGTCCTGCTGGGCCAAAGGCCGTCTGACCCATGTGGTGTTAAAGGCAATGGGAAGACCTCATATGTGTGTGTAGCTGCATGTCAAACTGAGTGTGCATACAGGTGTGCGCTCAGAGCTGCAAGTCAGCTTTGTTTAAAGATGTGCGTGGCTGTGTGTTGGGGTGGACATGTCAGTACTGTGTAGCAGTGTGATTTATTAAAGCCCCATTTCCACTGCTTATACTGTGGAGGTGGAATTAAAACACAGCAGACCATTGATTGGTCAGAGGGGCTTCTCACTTGCGTAACATGAGACATCATGCACAAACCTGTCATTTTTAAATAGCCAAGCTACCGTCAATAGCAACTGCCATTTTTGTAAATTCCCTCAACCCAGATTTTTAAAAATGGTCGCCCACAAAACCACGTGCCGTGCTCAGTTAAGGAAGTGCAGACATTCATGTGTTTGGTTGCTGATGAGGATTCAGCAAGAGCTGGACAGAGCAACGGACGCTGTGTTGTTAAGATGATGTCATAGCACTTTCATGCAGCATCGCTATGACAATCAGCTAAGAACCCTGCCTACACTGATGGGGAACTATCTGCAGAGGAAAACGAAAAAGAGAAAAGTACTGGTCACAAAAGTGAATTGAGTTGAGCCACAACTTGCAGGGGAAATGAGGCATAATTCATACACAAACATTTCTTTGTTTACAATTTTTTACTTTTTTAAAGTGAAGACTCCAACTTTTTTGGGAATGTGAGAGCAAAGATAGTTAGAGGTCACTTGTAGTCTGTTAACGATATGTAGAAATAAAAGAAATACAAGACATTGTGATTTCATGGTAATTTAGCATGAGGGCTAACTCCAGTCAAACAGCGCTGGGAAGAGTGACTGCACACTACACAATGTTGGACTGAAATGAAGAAAAGACTTAGCTCATGATCATGATTATTATCATATCATTTACATAACACCACTTCAGCCTATAACAGTATGGTTTATCTACAAAAGGGGTAGGGCTGGGCGATAAATCGTTTTTATCGATTAATTCGAATTTGTAGTTTAGGACGATTTGTTTTAATGAAAATCTAGTTTCTATTTAAAATCCGCCACCGCTGCTTCACGCTGGGCTCCCATAGTTCAGAGTGGGCTCACCCCTCCCCCCCGCGCGCTTAATACACAAACAACATGGCAGCGAGCGGGGAAGAACTCGTTCTCAAGAAAGGGAATGAGTTCTTCAGCGCTTTTGTGTGCACGCCTGTCTGTGTCTGTGTGTGTGTGCTCACCTGTGTGTATGTGTGTGTGTGTGTGTGCGTGTGCGCATCAGGGCCGAACTCCGCTGTGCGTGACACAGAGAGAAGAGGGGGATTTTAGACGCGCACCGTGTAGGGACATAAATGACATGCCATTGTGTAAATTAGATAATAAGTGCTACCAACGCCAAGCTGGCAGACCCCCGAACCGTAGTAAAGGGACCTCCGAAGACCATTAGCTCCTTTAGCTTGTGTTAGCTTGTTGTGGCAACAACACATAAACAACGGGACTTTGTCTGCGATAAAGAACGGCACTGTATTTTCAGCACTGCAGGGATGATGCACAGCCTCTCTAATCAGTGTCTGACTTTTATATAGAGGGAAATAACTCAAAAACAGCATGCAGAACTGCGAAGGCTTCTTCACTGTGGCTGCTCGATGTAAACAACATAGCAGCACATGCCTCACTTTCTTCCTGGGGCGCATCCGTCTGACGTCACACACCACACCCGGCGCACTAATGTCTCATACCTCCTACATCAACTACACACATACACAGCTCCACACACACACACACACACACACAAGCCACACACATAAGGCTCAGCCTGTGACATAAGGCTATTTAGTTTGTTTAATAAAAGGACAAGGTATAGACCTGTTCTATAGGAAAGGTAACCTTAATTGACTTCTGTTGTGATCCAGTATAATGGTAGGGGAAACACTGCTGTATAGGGCTGTCAACGAATATTCTAAATTCGAATTAAAATTAGAATTTGAAAAAAAAGGACCTCCGCATGTGAAAGTTGATATTTGATTGTGGAGAAAAAAAAAGCACCACTGCAGCTGTCCTCTTTGCGAGTGGGCGTTGGCCTGGGCCGCTGCACTGAACGCACTGCATGAGGTGCTGCGAAGCGCAGCGCACCTAAATTCTCGCACGAGCCCGAGCACTTCCGTTCACATCAGACGCGCATTTCTCCACACTGGTCTACAAGCGGTTCTGCTCCCAGCTGTTGTCTCCGTCACCAGGCTTGACACATTCGCTCGTGGCTTGCGCAGAAAGTAGACCAGAGCCGGCCACGCAGCCGGTGTGGATGACACAATCGGTTAACATGGGCGCCGAAAGGAAACTGGCTTCGCTTCGAGGCGCTTCGAGGCTCTTCGCAGTGCTTCTGCGAGCGGTGTGGCCTGACAGGTCAGAGAGGGGGGGCAAGCGAGAGGTCTGCGGTTGTTTCTAAGGTAATGTTATAGATAATTGTTTTATGAGTTTTAATGTGTAGGTATGTAAATGTTTTCAAAAACGTTTATGTTGAAATAAAAATACCTACAAGTAATTATGTTTCCTTGTATTAATACATATACAAGTATGTTTCCTTGTATTAGTTTGCCCTCTTGTGGACATAATGCGAAAAAAAAAAAAAAATTCGAATGGTTCGAACTAGGGCTGCACGGTATATGCTGTAGACGGTAGAAATGATATAAATTTGGCCCACGGTAGAGATTTGCGCTCTACTGTCCTATCGTCGATGACATCATCGCACCTGCCTCAGTGTGAAAATGGCTGCGAGCACAGACAGCGGAGCAAGAGGAGCTGGTTCACGTCCGTGATTTAGCGTAGCACGTGCAGCATGTGTTGCTGGAGAACTTGTGAGTGAGTGAGTTAATGTCTTATGAACAGCCCCGGACTTCTCAGACTCTTTTAGCGAGTCCCCCCAGGGGACATTTTGCACCATAGAGTACTGGGTTTTAATTTTGAGTTTTGAGATCTGCATTCTGCACAATAAATGCTCTAAAAAATACATTATATCTTTGCTTTTGTTGTTGTTGTTGTTTTTTTTTATCAATTTAGCTTTGCTAAGGGACTACAAAACCCATTCAGAAACACTTCTATTATAACTTTTACACTTAAATTTATACCACGATATATACCGTTACCGTGAAGGGATTCGATTTATACCGTGATATGAATTTTAGGGCATACCGCCCAGCCCTAGTTCGAACCTATGACTTATTTTTAGAAGGAATATTCGAACGTCATTTTTGAGCAATTTTGACAGCCCTACTGCCGTATGATAAGAAAGGGGTCCAGTGGAAAGCGATCACAGATGCAGTCGCAATGTATATTGCAAGAAATATGGTGCCCATATATAGGCTACTGTGGAAAAGCCAGGGTTTATTCACATGCTGAAAGTTTTGGACCCCAGGTATGTGCTACAGGCCGCAAATATTTTTTTTTAACTAGGAGGGGGAAAAAAAATCGATTTAAATCGTGAGTCGGATTTTTTTTTAGGCCATATCGTCCAGCCCTAAAAAGGGGTGTCAAACATCCCGCCCAAGGGCCAGTATTCGAGTACTAGTTTGTATGTCAGTATTTATTTTATCTATTTTCAAAGGGGAAACTTTTTTACACATATTTTCGTTACAAAATAGTTTCAATTATGGTAATAAAACATTTGTTCAACCAAAACCTCATACTATTGCAACTCTAATGCAAGTGTAATGACAGTGAGCAGTAGACTGATGAAATGTGGAAAAACTGAGACATATTGTTGAAATTGTACTATTTTTCTTGAGACATCTAAGGCTGTTGGTCTGTTTTGTAAATGAATGGCTTCGAAATGTACTTGAAAGAAAGAGTAAAATTTGGAGTGTGATTATTTATGGGTTATTATGCAATAATTTTACTGGTCCGGCCCATTTGAGATCAAATTGGGAAACTGAACTTAAATAAGTGAAAGCAATGAGCCACAGCATTTAACTTTTCCAATACCTTTTAGATTTAGCATAGTTTTGTACAAAGATAGGATAATAGATTTACTAAACCTAGCTTACTCAGACGGAGTATTGTGTGTATAAAATGGCATACGGATTTGTTGGACATTACGCTCATTATCAAAATTTTCATAGCACATCTTCAACTTATTAGTTCTAATATTTTGATTTACCTGCAGTAGCTAACTTTTGCAATATTTTTTTTGGAATTCATTTTATTCCATACAGAAAGAATCTAATGTTTGTTTTTTCTAAAAGTAATCACAGATTACTAGGGGCAGGGGGAAAAAAATCAGTACATCAAAGTATTGCAATACTTTTGTGTGGCAATATCATATCCTCACGCAGTGCCAAGTATTGAATCTTTATTACATAAATTATTAATAAGACAAATACAAATTAAACTTTAGGTAGTCTAATAGAATAATATAATCAATTGCTTTTTCAGTCCACTACATACATTTTGCTGCTTTCAAAAAATGGGTGGAGTGAGATGAAAACGAGATGAAGTGACTGAAAACTTATTAGATAAAAGCTTTCCTTTGGGGACATAATTTACAGTTGAAAAAAGGGTAATAAATTGCAATATATTTCAGTGAAATAGTCAGCATATCGCAAAATATTTAAAATTGCAATAACACTGTATCTTACTTAAGTACTGTGTTAATATTGTATCGTGGCTCGTCTGGGGATTCCCATTCCTACAGGTTACTGAAGCAAAATAACTGAATTAGGATTTTAATTTGGGAAATAATTAATTTGATCATTTTTTTTATAATCATATGTTGTCATATTAAAACCATTATTGTATCATGTTTTCGTAATTAGACCATTTTAAAATTATTCTGAGGTGCACTAATGTCTGAAATCTGTTAATGGTGTTAACAGTGGCTAGAAACAAGAAATGATTCTCAGTAACTCACCTGGCTTCTTGTAGCTGACATAGATAAAAAGACCCAGAACAATGACGTTGGTAAGGAGAGCAGCCCACCAGTTGATGACGAACATCACCACACAGCACAGCACAGCTCCAGCAAGAGAAACCCACATGTTGTAGTATTTGAAGCTGGGGCGCCATCCTACACCACCAACGAGTGAAAACAAGTCAAGACATTGCAGTGAAAGGCTGATGATATTTAAAATCATCAAACTAACTCACAGTGCCTGTCACATACTTTATCTTTATCATATTGTTTGCAAAATGTTTAATTATGGTAAACTGAGGAAATGCACTTCATGTTTAAGGTTGAGTAGAAGTCAGATTTGTCAGACTCCTTAAATAGGACCAAATTAAGTTGGACCTGCAATTCAAAAGACTAAAAAGAAGGAGACACAGTGGTCATCCTCCATGAACAGAAACATTTTCATTATCAACATGGTCTTCAACTAGGAAATGTTGCCAATAAAGAATGTGAATAAAGTTACAGTGGAAGCTGGACATGTGCTTGGGTTAAAGAATGGGAGTTAGCAGCCTGTTAGACTGGAGATCAGAAGGTTACGTACCAGCTATTAAAGACCAGATTTGTTGACTGGGTATCACAGAAACTAGACTAGTAGGATTTTAGTGATGGGAAACATTCAGACTGTGTGTGGTTACACGATGACAGAGTCTAAAACAAACCATAGGACATAAAGGGTACATTGATGGTGCTGTTCCTCACAGCCCCATGCAGGGCATTTATGTGTCCCAGGCCAGGACACCGAATGAAGCAGGAACAGTTTATGGTTGCAGAGACAGTAAAATCAATGCCTGTTTTATTGCTTCTCTTTAATTTAGTCATGTACCATTTAAGTCCTTGTAATCATATGACCTGCTTGGAGGAATTAGAAGCACATAAAGAATCTGTACCTGGAGTTCGGCAAGAGCTATGGTATTGTGGGGGAAAAAAGCAAAGAACTCAATACAAAAAAGTTCGACTACTAGATATGCATTTCATTCAGCTATTGTTTACTGTCTAAAGGCAAGTTCACCCAAATTACAAAATATGTCAATATTTATAATACCTCATCTAAATCTAGGCACATGCAGATTGGGTAGCCAGTACCTCCCATGACTTCACCACATTTTATTTTTTGTCGTTTTCTTTTCACATTTGTTTCTGGAGCACAGATGGCCTATGACAAAGATGCACTCACTGACATTAGAGTAGCAGGTGCAGGGATTGGATTAGTTGTAGTGGACCTTTAAGGCCCAGACAAACTTGAGAGAACTAGCGGCAACAAAATCCAACTGTTGTGTCGCCTCATGACGTCTGTGTCGTGGGCAAATGTTGCACATGAACACACCACAAATACTACAGCTGATGGCCAACCAGCACTGGCTCTGGTGTCGGGGCCGACGGGTTCCAACAAGGGATGACGGTGTAGGACACATCATACCGACCACGACGACAGGCGCTTACCAATGACCAATGACCCATCACTGACCGATGGCCAACTGTTGGCTTGGTGGCAGGGTCTTTAGATGGTCACCACCCACATCTTCCAACCACTCAGTCAGACCAGCCAGACATAACACCATCTAGTAACCATCCCAGGAAGAGACGGACAAGAGCTGGGATAAAAGCTTGACTGGCCCAGTTTGACCTAGGGCTGTTCCACTACCCATGAAATAGGATTTGGGAGACCAGAGACTGCTGTGCCCACATCTTGGCAGAGACCTGACCATCATGGCATCCTGGTTTTGGGTGCCAACTGAGTGAAGGACTTTCCACGGGATGAGGGGAGGTGAACTCTGTTTACATCAATGATGCTTGGTACTAGAAAAAGTTGATGGACATTTTTTCCCTTATGTTGAAATTTTAGTCTTAAGATCCCGGCCAAATTATCTGCCCAAAGAATTCACCAGTGTTCTTGCTATTGCTATTTATATTCCGCCTGATGCAAATTCAGAAAATGAAGCTTAGCTTTGGCCTGCTAACTTTTACAACTTTCCTTTCAGCAGCTACTTAAACCAAATACTGCAGGCCCTGATTCATGATGGTGATAGTCTTAAAGAAGTTGAGCTGGGAGATGCTGACTCCTGAAGTAGATGTAATGCAACCAGCTAGACTATTGCAATTGAGGCGATTCATCACTTGCTGGTCAAAAACACACAGTCCATTAATGATCGCAGAGTGCTATTACAGTCTCATGCTATTTATTACTTACCAATGATCCTTGGTGATACTGGCTTGCAGTGAGCACATTAACCCAATAGTCATTCATTATATGACTGATGGAAACAAAGCTGAACCTTTCAATTGCTGGAGTGACAGTCAGCACTGGCTAAAAATGAGAAGCCTGCTAACATTACCTCAAAACTTTGTACATTATTTTTTTCGCTACTAAAAAGACAGAGTAATGTTTGTGGAAAAAGCGGCAAATAATAGCAAATATAAAGGGTACGCTGTACAACATCAGCTCTGAAAAAAGATTCTGATACATTCTGATATTTCTGTGTAGTTGTTTGTGAGCAGAAATCAGTCCCTCTCCTCAGTGTAAATCCACAGATAATTCATGCTACTCTATCGTCATGGTAAACTGCTGTGATGCATTCATCATTGAATAGCCAACAAAACAAAACTGAAAGATACACTCTATAACAATTTAACACCACTGCTACATCTAATCATGACCAAACCAATCATATCAAATGACTCATCTGATGCAGCAGTGTGGCAGTAACAGTGACCCACACACTTACGTAGAAAAATATTTCAAAGCAACAATATAGTGACTGAGTGATTGAAGAAGAGGGGCTGGGTTGGAGGGAGGCTGGGTGAGATTTCTTATCATTTTATGATAATATAACATTTAGTGTCTGAAATTAGCCTTTTGACTCACTGGCCAAAGCAAAGCACATTTTTTACTGAAAAAAAACTCTCAGCATAGTTTTTTTATTACATTATGACTATTTTGATACAAATATTTACCCATCAGTGTGGCAGGCAGCCTTCAGAGATTTACCCACCAAATGGAAAATCCTGCTGAATTTGGCACTTGGTGGGAGTTAATTTTGGACCCTGATTAGTGATAATAATAATAATAGTAGTAATAATGAAATAGGGACTCTTATTGTCATTGGATTTTCTAACTTCAATACAATACCTTGAAAAATATTGATAGTCTATACCAGTCCACAGTCGATTCCATTTTCGATACCGTGGGGAAGATTGAGGCTTACTTATAGCATATATTAAAATACTTTTTGGCTTTTCTTTGACGTAATCACTTTTTGTGTTTTATATTGCTTGTTTTAGAGCTATACATTTATTAATTTGTATTTCTGTTGTCTGTCTGTAACTTCTCTTGCTGCCTGTCTTGGTCAGGACACTCAGGAAAAAGGAAAAAGAGGTTTTTGATCTAAAGAGGTTTTTCTGGCTAAATTAAGGTTAAATAAAATAAAATATAATAAAATACCATTCAAATTTTCATAAAACATAAATAGAACAAAACTAAAATATGACATTGACGACGACAACGGCGACAACGAATTTTCTTTCCTTTTCTTGGTTAGAAGCTGACTTAGAGGCTGACTGAGTAAACTGAAAATGAAAATGAGCATTGAAACCATTTCAAATATTCAGGCCAAATATGTCAGTAACAACATAGATCAAACAATTGTGATTGTTTTGGTTATTAAAAATACATTCATCTAAAAAAAAAATCATATTATATCTGCATTTCACATACAGTGCCTATTAGCAGGAAATCTGCACTCTACTGTGTGCACTTTTGTAGTCATTTTTATAGATCATTCAACAACTGGCCAATGGCACAACAGTTGAAAATTTGTCACTTAGCTTACACTGGCACATTAACAGCCATGTTGATCAATTATCCTACTGAAAAAATGGCAAGTCATGTAAATGATCATCTGACTGCTTCTGCAAAACACTTTGAAAATACACAGTAATTCTAACTCAGATTTTCTGCTAGCTTCACAATGGCCATTCTAGGATAGGACTAGCCTCATGAGCTGTAAAATATTATTTCTAAGCTCTTAGAGCAGCTAAACATGCCCTGAACTGTAGAGTGCATCAGGGTAATCCCTTGAAAACCCCTCATTTCCCATCACCATCATTGTTAAGTACCATATGACTGGTGACTCTGCCATCACAGCTGATAAGCCGCTCGTTTCTACAATCAGACAAGACTTGTCTCTTACGATGAGTTCTTCTGCAGCTTTCATTTCTGGATTAGCACATTTTACTTCTTTTTTGATCTTACCTGGTGAGTTTGCCAGTGAAGCATGGAATACAGAAAAGTTGATCAAGGCATAGGATGCCAAGAAAAAGTTGGAGATGATGGGGGCAATGACGTTCAACTCAGCTGCAAGAGGAAAACACCAGAAAGAAATCACTCAACTCAGAAAGGGCCAAAACTCAAACTTCATGACCTCTAGTCCTTTAAGGAACAGCAACAAAAAATGCCTCTAATTTGACTCAACGCTGGCATCAAGAACTCAGTGTAACTAGCCAGCCAGTGCATTCCTTACACCATCCAACACTTTGGTCCAGTGCAAAAATCCAAAACATTGGCATCAAATTTGGTGAAGATATTCACTCCTTATAATTCTGGTACACAGACCTTTTCACTAGCCCAAGTTTCTCTTACAGTTTACATTCATGTCTGTGCACCCATTTCCCCCCCAGCAGCACAGAAGAGCTATACAATCAGCACAGTTTCAAGATAAGTGTCAGTAGTTCAGTACCCAAACAAATATTTCCCCATGTGCTCCTGAGATATGATGTTGATAAATGGCCAGAAAAGTGTAATCAACATTATGATGTCACAGTGAAGTTGACATTGGATATAAAATGGATAAAAAATGTCATCACTTCTTATTTGATCCTATTAGACATTTGTGTGACGTTTTGTCATAATTAGCATATTCATTTTTAAGTTATGGCCAAAAATATATTTTCTGCTGTCATACTGACCTTGACCTTTGACCACATGTCAAATTTAAAGAAACTCTCTTAAGGTGTTCACCAGATGCAAGGTCACATTGACCTTGAACTTTGACCACCAAAATCTAATCAGTTTATCATGGAGTCCAAGTGAATGTTTGTGCCAAATTTGAAGAAAATCCTCAAGATATTGTTGAGATATCATGTTCACAAGAATAAGACTGATGCGTTCACACAGACTTTGACCTATTACCACCAAAATCTAATCAGTGCATCGTTGAGCCCAAGTGGACATTTGTGCCAAATTTGAAGAAATTCCCTCAAGCTATTCTTGAGATATTGCGTTCACAAGAATGAGATGGATGCAAGGTCATGGCGACCTTAACCTTTGACCCTTGACCATTAAAGTCTAATCAGTCCATCACTGAATTCAAGTTAACCTTTGTGCCAAATTTAAAGAAATTCCCTCAAGGCATTCTTGACATATTGCGTTCACAAGGACAGGATGGACGTATAGACGTACAACCCAAAAACATGATGCCTCCAGCCACTGCTATCACCAGCGTGGAGGCATGCAAACTGTCTTTTGGTATAAATTATAGGCTAAAAACAATTGTTCTGAAATAATTTCTCCATTGAAACCAAAGAAAATACTAATGTCATTATTGGGAACTCAAAAAATTTTACATTATTTGTAAATGCATCAACTCAACACTGTCTTTATTTTCTCAATAATTAATACCAAATTACATTGTTCTTTCCAGGAAACTTCTTGGAAATGACTGACATTAGAGTGTTACTGCTTTTTTCATATTTTTTCAGTAAATTTTGCAGCCTCTAGTTTTTCAGTGGTGTTTAAGTAGTGCTTATTGTGGTGTCATTCAATAACAATGGTTAAATGTCAGAGTACAGATGAGTAGTGTGCACATCCGTACCGATAAGGATGAAAGCCAGAGCAATACCAAAGGTGAGGATGTAGCCTCGGAGGGGCTCGTTGTTCTTGCCGTAGCCTTTAGCGAACATGCCCAAGCCTGGGTAGATGTTGTCCTTACATAAAGCCTGTAGAATCAGAAAACATAACGCCAACTTCAGACTTTTAGTTGTTCATAATCTAAAACTACAACATTGATTACAATCCAAATCTCTAATTAAATGGGCAAAGCTCACTTGTTATTAGTGCAATTTGTTAGATACCTTGATGCAGTATAGGTCAGTTCTTACCTGAAAAACTTTGGGTGCACTGACTAAAGAGGCAAGAGCTGAGGACAGAGTGGCAGAGAAGATTCCAGCAGTGATGATGGGCCCAAAACCAGAAACCACGCTCATCACCTGAACCAAACATTAAATGCAGATGAAAACATTGACTTTTCCACCCATCAACCAACCCCGTCATTTTAACGTCAGTCTCCTGATATACTTCAGACCTCATCTTCTGCAAGAGCTGCTTCATACCTGGAAGTCCTTCCGGAGTCCATAGCGGCATCCGCCTTTTTCACTCTTACACGAAGAAAAATCATAGCCAAATTTGCAGGAAGCATCAGTACAGTTCATCATGAATTGAGAACTAACTGTGTCACTTGCATTTCCACTGGCATCTCTCACAATGCAGGAGCCTGGTGTGGAACAAGGAAACACATGAACACCCTCTTAAGAAATTGCAGATTCTTAAAGCTACAGAGAATATCACATGTAGTGGGCACTACTGCACCTGTTGAGACAGCAACACCTAGGTAGACTATCCCTGTGATCAAAATGGCCAGCAGGGTTCCTCTAGGAATGGCCAGCTGAGGGTCCTGCAACAAACAAGATAACAAGCAATCTATCTTTCCATCACAAACCTTTGAATCCTTAGCAGTAAAGTGCTTTTAGATGATGTCATCAATCCTCTGCTTGCCACACTAAAGGTCATCAGCTCATTCACTTGGTCACGCTTATTTATTTCACTATTTTCAACAAAGCACATTCACCTGTGCAGAAGAATCTACACAGATGATGGTTTGACAGCTTTAGTCAAATCTGTTACACCAAGATAAACCCCTTGAGATGTACCATCTCTTTACCAAGGCAGTTTTGCTAATAATCACAGGTAACTTACAGCGAGGTCTCCTGAAATATTAGCTCCGGCCAGAATACCAGTGGCTGCAGGGAAGAAGATGGCAAAGACAGAGAAGAACGTCTCGCCTCTGAAGTCAGGACCCATGTTTTCCCACATGATTGAACCTAGAAATAGAGTTTCAAACACCAAAACATCAACTGATAAAACCTTCAGTACCAACACTGCTGGAGCTAACAGCCTACAGGCCTCAAAAGTTTCCCTTGACAAATCAGTTTGTGGTCTCACCGTCATAGCCAAAGAAGCCCACAGATTCCTTCGACTTGACAGGAATGAAAGTTCCGATGAAGTAGTTGATGATGGCTGTGATGAGGACCACGAGCAAAAATATCTGGGCCTACAGATAGGCAAATTGAGCGATTCATTAGGCACAATGGATCTCTTAAATCTATGGATGAATCAATCATAGTGTGTGTCTGAGTGTGACAGAGTTTTCTTAACATCTGCTGTGGGAATTTTCATTAGGGCTTAGACTTGAGCATGTCTAGCTTCTACGCAGTTGATGTTAGCTGTCAGTGTATCAGAGATGGACCCTGTTTGTACCTTGGCCTCCCATTCCATTCCCGCCACAGAGATGCCCAGGAGAAGGATTACTGTGATGGTCCCGATGATTCGTATATCATTGATTTCATCTGTCATAACGGCATCCACACCCTGAGAGACAATACATAAGAGTTGTTTAATAGTATAACAATAAACTGCCAATTCCTTAAGTGCAAACACTGGAGTTCTTTGATCTTTGATCTGGTCTTTTAACTATTATTACAAAATACTCAAAATAATAGTTTAGGCAAAAGTTCAATGATGGTGTGCTCACAAATGAAATTTCAATTAAAATTCAAAATGCTGAAGCTTTCCTGTTTAAACCCAGGTCTTTAGGGTTAAAACAGGAATACTTGTCTGAAAAGAGCTCTACAGAGCAATGACATTAAGTTGGACTAAATACTGATGATGAGACAGTAAAGCCAAGTTCAGTCCAAAGATTGAGACAGGCATCTACAATGTAATGCTCTGCAACATTCTAAAAATCCAACCAGTTCTAATTTCCATTTCTAATTTATTTTGTGGCTGAATATAATTGGCTGAATATAATTTGAAGCTTCTTAAAATATTAATGACAATAGTGATAGTGAGATACTGGCTACAGTTGCATTTGTAGTAATGATGAAAAGGCGGGGCACAAGCAGCGAGCAGCGAGCAGCGAGCAGCGAGCAGCAGCAGCGTCCCACTGTCCAACACTGGCACACCGTGAGGACAAAATCAGGGGGCTCAATAGGGACGGAGCACCTGCCACAGCAAGCAAACACACTGTGGTCATTCTGACTTGACCAGCAGACTTTACTACAAGCCAACTGGCTGTTGAAACAGGTGATATGCTTTACATTCTGAAAACAGCCGACTCGAGCAGCCGAGTTGCAGGTGACACATCAGCTGGACTGAGCTGAGCTCAGATTCACACTGCTGCAACTTTTCTCTGCAATGTTCTTAAACAGTTTCGTTTAAGAACATTGCTAATCTGAACTAGGCTTAAGATGGCAGCAACAAATCTGCCTGAGGAAAAATACTGTTCTTTTAAGCTTACTTTTTATAGTGTTATCGCCGCTACCGTCACAGTTTCCATTTTAAACACAGCAACCGCTGCACAGCTATTTGCTGCTGCCACCTTAGGGCCTGTCTCCACATAGCATTTTCTTTCTGAGCGCTGGTGTCTTTTTTCAATTGTTGCCAATGAGGAGAGGTGGTATCAGTTTCATAAGTCATTAAAAAAAATCTATGTGTTTCTCTTATAACTGCCCTTAACTGTTGTCGGGAGATGACATTTGATAAAGTTTTTGGATTTGATGTCGTCACATGACAGCTTGGACGTGAGAAAGAGAAGAAAAGATGGAAAGCGCGCATCAAGCGAGTTGGTCCCAAATAACTTCACAACTTCTGCAAGCAGCAGCAGCAGCAGCAGCAGTGAAGGAGGGAGAAGCGCAACCCGAACCACCCGGCACCGCGGCCAAAGTTCTCAATCCACTACGTGTCCTGCTCCAGCCGGAAAAAGTAAATATGCTGGTTTTTCTGGTGAAAAACCTTGAATGGTTTTGAAGCATAGGATGCTGCTATAGTTATCATTATACTTTGCTTTTATTTCACTTTCAATGAGGAGTAGCCTGGACGAAACAGTTCGGACTTGGAGAAAGTGAACTTTTCAAATTAAAGGTAGGCTCTAAAAATAAACCAATCCCGTTGCGTTCTCAGGATAGGATTATATATGCCCATTTTCGGTTATGCCTTGTTATGTATTGAACTGTTTTTCTTATTTGATAAGCCCTAGTACTGGATGCTATAGAGTTGTGTTTTTAATTTATTTGATTTATGTTGATTCTAAAAATAAACCATCGGACAGTGCCCATCACGGTCTCAGGATACGCTGTATAGCACACATTTTCGTTACTGCCATTGTTATCTATTGTTACTTTTTTATTATTTGATAAGCCTATAAGTATTGGATGCTATAGGGCTGTATTTTAATTTAATGATTTGTGTCGATTACTGTACTAGAAGTGGACTGTAGCCCACAGACAATTTGTTGTTATTTTATTCTGTTTGGTTGACTGCTGCATTTGCACTTTTTTAAATATTTATTAATAAAAGTAGTTAACGTTGTGCATGTTTTGTTATTTTTGCAGTATTCTTAGGCCTATGTGATGTTTGCTATTCTGTTTCTGAATGCTATAGGTGCAAGCCGACATTTTGGTGACTCTGCTTGAGCCCTTCAAAGTGATTTTTAATTAGACACGGTATTACCATATACCCCGGGAAATGTGGGGAAGGTTTAACGGTAACAAAATCTGGATACCGCCCAACTCTACCGTAAACAGCCACATGCGACTACCTAGACAAAAAGCACCGCACCCAGCATCTTCCTCAGAGAGCTCTGACTTTTTGTGCAGCCCCTCCTGGCGCTTATAGTTGAAAATCTCGCTCTTCAGACTGGACTCTCTGACGTCAGAGTCCGGATAACCCGTAAAAAGCTGTCAAACAGATAACAAAAGGTATTTATATAAACTGACGGGTACAGGAACAGGTAAAAATGAATTGCATGAGGGCAGGCAGCAGGTAAGAACAAAAATAGATTTTTTATTTTTCAGAATAAAACAAATGAAAATGATGTGCAGTATAGGTGTAATATTTTGACATCTAAATTACTACTGTATTATCGAGTCGCAATTCCTTTTATTTTGAAAGTCAATGACACAAGTGGAACCTTTGACCCTGTCATCACATCGGTCACTAACATGGGGGACTCCACCCATGAAACCCTGCAGCCCCAGGATGAGGTGGCAGTCTACATCGAGTTCAAGACACCCAAGGAGGATCCTTTTGAGGTTTTATGGTGGTGGAAGGAGCATGCTAAAATGGCTTTTTAAATGGCGCACTAGGATGAGGCACTCCTCAGCACTCACTGCTTTTCTGCCATAGAAACACGCTATTTGGACAAATGGCCTTATAGGCTGGGTTCACATTTTTTTGAGTCCGTCTTTAAAAAAAAGTCTGATATGAAGACTGAAACACATTATGTTAGCTGTAATTATTCTTAATGTTCATACTGGCCTTTCAAAGGTAAAAAAAAAAATTCACAGCCCTCCATTTGTACAAAAATACATTCCAAAGTAGGGCATGAGATTTTCACGTTACGATAACTGTCTCAGAAAATATTGTGGCTTCATGGTATTACAGAATTTATGGTATTAATGACCCTAAACGAGCTTATTTTTGGTTGAACAAATGTTTTATTACTGTAACTGAAACTTGAAAGCATTTTGTTTTGTTTTTCAATAGTGTATATAAGAAAATGTACACGGTATGATAATTGTCAGCTTTTATATCAAGGTATACCTTGAAACCAGTACATAGCTGCAACCCTATTCCAATGTTTATCTGAAGATAATGTAAGGCTTCACTTGTCAGAAATCATCAAATGAAATTAGTATTTTCCAACTACCAAAGAACTCCCTCTTTGTGTTTCCCTGGACAGTGTTTCTGTCCTGTGACCCTCTAAAGTATATCCGAGCATAGCTAATGGATGGATGGATGGATGGATGGATAATAAACCGCGTTGGTATTAGTTCACTTGGCTAAACTTGCTTAAAAAAGGTGTCCCATTGCTACCCATTCTCTCTCTCAGTCAACAGCAGAAAGCTGTCTGTTGGGCTTGGGAAAGCTCAGGTGTAGTGCGATGTAGCCAGGAGAGCTGAAGTGCTGAAAAGGCAACAACAAGACAAGAGATGCAGTAGTAATTATCAACTGTCTGAAAGCACCATCAGGCACAAAGAGACTTACTTTAAGAAGTTCCACAACAGTTTCAGCAAAGCCCACCACATACATAGCTACAGCCACTGCATTGGCAAATGCAAAGATCAGACCAATGGAACCTCCAAACTCTGGGCCCAGACTCCTTGAAATCAAGTAATAAGCTCCACCTGGAAACAAAAGGTAATGATGTTAGTAAAAGTTAACTGTTGTGAAAATTACACTGACAGTATAGATTTACTTTTCTTATATTGAGTATACCTACCATGAAACTTTTAAAAACTTACAATTAGAAGTATTTTCCTAATTTAACACCCTGTCTCTTTTACTAGCCTGGTGTAGCTAAACATTTTGACAAATAAAGGCCTCTCCCATTAGGCATCTGGTCTGATTGTCAAGCACTTCATTTTTTATAAAAGTTCTTTGGATGTGTAAAACCAAGTTGTTGGTTACCCCCTTGAGTTAACGTTAGTTAGCTGTTTAGATTGCACATACCAATATAAATGTTAAAACTTTCATCAATATGGAGATGCTACATATTGTTAGCTCAGTTCATTTCATTTTACTGAAACCATGAGCACCAAAGAAGACCCTAATTCATTCAGATTTACCAGCATGACGGAAAAGCAAGTGGTGACTACCTTCCTCTGAAGCTGTCATAAAGTCAGAATATGTGTCCATTCTTAGAATGCCTCTGTTGCAAGGAATGGGACCGGTTGCAGCCTTATTTTCAAGGTCTGGATGTGACCGAGGACGAGACACCTCCACCTGAAGTAACGTTAGTATCCAGCTGGGCTTTATCTAGAGCTCGCGAGATATATTTCGGCCGAGCTTTGGAAAGCAGAGCTAACATGGCACCACACCAGTAAGGTAAGACAACACGTTTACATGTAGTTTTCTATATGTTCTCTGACATTTATCCTAACGATATGAGGTGGTCTTTGTGGAAAAAAAACTTGTTTAGTGGACTAACTTTGCACTTGAAGGTATGCCCGTTCACTTACGTTTAAACAGGTCCGGCGCTACTATGTGCCCCGGCTGTATCTAGGCTAACGGCTAACATGCTAACTATTATTTCTATGCCACTAGTCACTTGAAACAAATTTAGGACGATAGGAGACGGGTTGAAATAAACAGAAATTTCCCTTTAAGGGGAGGAGTTGAGCATAAGGTCTCGCTATATGCAGATGACCTTCTCCTATTTGTTTCAAAACAAGCCATCTCATTGACAGAAGCACTGACTGTATTGGAGGTTTTCAGTCACTTCTCAGGATACAGACTTAACTTAAATAAGAGTGAACTTAATCCAATTAAAAAGCAAACTTTTACACTAGATTATAGAAATTTTCCTCTGAAGGTGGTAAAAGACCACTTTAATTATCTTGGGATATGTAGAGATTTTAATAACCTCTTTAAATCTTTATTTTTAGTTTGTTCGACCAGCCAAAGCAAATTTGATCCAAATGGTCCCCACTGTCCAAACTTTTCCAAAAATCTTTTTCAGTATCTCCCCATTCTCATTCACAAGTCTTTTTTTAATCTTTAATACTATCCTACATTTGGAATGGGAAACACCCCCAGTTACGAAAAGCATTCCTTTAGAGACCCAAGCAGCTGGGGGGAAAGGCTCTTCCTAATTTTCAGTTAGCAAATATCAGTTGTGTGATGTATTGGATGCACTTTCACCTTGAACCCTCATGTCCAGCTTGGGTAGCAATGGCAGTCTGTGCCAGTAATCCAGTTTCTTTGCCTACCCTTTTAGGTGCTGCACTTCCACTTACCTCTGATACTTCTATCAGCAACCTTGTCGTTAAGCATTCCTTACAAATCCGGACCCAGTTCAGGAGACATTTTGGACTGCAGGCCTTCTCACTCCGAAGTCCTATTGCAGCTAATCATCTATTTGCTCCCTCATTGGCTGATGCCCCATTTAAGATTTGGCACAAAAAAGGCTTGAGATGCTTTGGTGATCTCTCTATCGAAAATCGCTTTGCTTCCTTTTTTATCAATTGTCAGAAATCTTTGGTATATCCAAAACACACATTTTTAGATTCTTGCAAGTCAGGCATCATGTACAATGTTTAGTATCACAATTTCCTCATGAACCTCCAGTCAATCCGACTGATATATTTCTCTCTGTCAACCCCATTTCGAAAGGCATTATGTCTCATCTTCACAATCTTATTTCAAAGCTACATTGCCCCTTAATGGTGGCTATAAGAACTGCCTGGGAACAGGGCCTTGGTTTTACTCTCAGTGATGACACATGAGACTCAGTGCTTAATTGTATACACTCCTCGTCAATGTACGCTTGTCATGCACTCTTGCAGTTTAAAGTGATCCATTGTGTCCATATATCTAAAGCCAAATTGGCATGAATATATCCAGATGTGGACCCTACATGTGATAAATGTAAAGGTGCACCTGCCATGCTCCTTCACATGTATTGGGCATGCCCCTCTTTGGTCAATTTTTGGGAATTAGTATTTTAAACAATCTGTGACACCAAACAGAGCCAAATCCCATGAGTAGAAAACCCTTTATTTACAAACTGTAACCATGGCTAAAGCCAACTCTACTGTAACAACCCTCAACTAATCTCTGCTTTGACATTTCACTGATCGCTTATCTCACTGAAAAGCAAAAGAAGAACTCAGCGGGAAGGAACTCCGCACAAGTTAGACCTAACCTCACTAAGTCTGCACATTTCACCATCGGCTTACATTCAACTGTTACTGTGTAGCAGGAGTGCCAGGGACAAGCTAATACATACATGAGGCCACTGTGTATGGCTTCACTGAGAAGTTATGATAATAGAATGAAAGAGAGTTCAAAGCAGGTGCTAATATGGGGGTGATTTAAAGTAGCTGGTATAGTGTACAGATAAGTGGCTGTGCAAGGGCTATACTGCTGACATTAGCAAAAAAAACAAAACAAAACAACAAAAAAAAACACAGTTCCCGTCTTCATTGCAATGTGCTTGCTGCACAAAAAAACTTGAATTACCACCTTCGGTTGTATGCCTCTGCACACCAGTCAAGTTGCAGTTACAGTTTACATCCATGTCTGTGAAAACATGGATGTGTCACACGCATCTTCAAGTATCTGATCAAATGTAACCTCTTCTGTTCCTGAGTTATGATGTTGAGTAATGGCCAAAAGTGTTTATGCAGAACACTGTGATATCACAGTGAAGTTGACCTCTGACCTTTTTAAATATATTTTAAAATGTCATCAACTCATTTTATCATTTATATAATAATGACGGTGATCTCTGAACTTTGACCACCAAATTTTAATCAGTCCATCATTGAGTCCAAGTGGGCAAATATGAAAAATTTCGTCAAGGCTTTCTTGAGATATTGGGCTCTAGTTTCGCAGTCCGGGCGAGGCGGGGGCGCAGCGCACCTGCGCTTCGCCAACTGGGTATGGCCAGGCGGATTTTGCAAGTTTGGCACACTGTGCGCCTGGCGCAGCTACTCCTCTTTCCCACCTCCGTCCCTCCTACCTGCGCAAGTCGGAAAGAGGGAGGAGAGAAGGCGTGGAGTGGGTTTTACACACATCACACCAATCAAATGAGCCCCTCTCCTCGCCCTTAAATGCGCCGCACAAAGGCGTAATGAGAGTTTACTCAATTCGCCATGGCAGAAGAGAGCAGCAGTGTCAGACAGCCAAACTCCTCCCAGGAGGAAACTGATGTTTTGGTCCGGGAGGTCCAAGCTCGCAGTGTCTGAATATACGGAACTGCGAGCAGACCTCCACGGGCTGATGATGCAAAGGTAGCCTGGGAGGAGGTCACCACAATTGTAAATCAATGTTGCATTTCTCTCGTGCGAGTGCGCGCTCTCTCTTTCTCTCTCGCAGTCTCACTCTGTTTCTTTTCGGTCTGCCAAACTACCAAACTGAGTGCACCTCGGGTTGCGCTGGTCGAAACTAGCTCTGCGCAGGGTTCGTCACCCTGCGCCACCCTGCGCTGCGCTGGGAAACTAGAGTCCATTGTGTTCACAAGAATTTGCTGCTTCCGGCTGGTTCTTGCTTAACATTACTTGCCCTAAATCGAAAATACTTCCAAACAACGGATGATGATCCGTATTAAGGGGACTAGCTCCCCAACTTCTGCTCCAGACATTTGGTTATGGTTTTGCCATCTGCTCTCTGTTGTATATGATTCTTCTTCTCTGGACTGCAGCTGCAACATTCAGTAAAGTCTGTCAGAGTCTGCCGCTGCAGGGTGTTAATGCAGCGGCAAGACAGCTGTGCCTGTTAGCTTAGGAGGCACTTGATTTGATATGCAGCAGAGTCTTCTATGAGCGGAGTACCCATTCTAAACATCAATATGTCAGTTGATCATGTTCATTTAATTGTGGGAAGCCAAAATCCTGATGTGATTAATAGTTGATTAATTGTGCACCTCTGGAAAGAATCCATTTTAAGGATTATAAAAATATCATTTCCACTCCAATAAGATTTAGTCTTTATTTCATTGTGAAATACTGAACTAATTACAAGCCTGTTTTGACTGATTCAGTGACTGAGGAATGTGTTAATATCCATGTGGGACCACCCAGTTAACGGAATTTTTCCTCTCACTGAGACGGCTGGTAGAGATGAGTATTTAACCCTTCCTTCACCTGACTGTGCACAGGTGGATTAACTAGTGTAACACCAAACAGCAGGAGGAATAAAGTCACCGTTGTCATCAGTCTACAAAAAGAAGCGATGCATACCTCCTCGAACAAATCCGTTGGTGGCAATGGCAGAGGTGGAGAGGCCGGTGATGGTCGTCACTACGGTAGCCATGGCAATGATTAAACAGGAGAGAGCTGCAAAAGAAAAAACTGTATGACCTTTATGAATCTCTTGAATGAAAAGAATGTGCAACACTGTTAACAGTTTTCTAGCAGACCTTCCAATAACTCTGAGCTCCGTGAAAAGTAACAGCACAGCCACAAAGGCGAGCCGCTGCAGTGAAGTCGGCCACATGTGTCACTGTCTGCTGATATTTCACATCAAAGTGGAGAATGATCAACAAGGGCTGGGTGGTCAGGGACAGTGGGGAGTTGTGTTGTGTGTGAAGTGAGAGAAGACGTGACACACAGTGTTGAACACACAGTCTGAAATGACCACCCAGCAAGCACCAAGATGTCAAGACATGCGAACTGTGTGCCACACTGCTTGCTAACTTTTATGGACAGTGAGATCTGAATTTGTCAGTTCTGTGCAGTCTTTGTCACATCAAAGTCAAACATTGGCTGTGCAACAAACACTCCTGGGCAGCTGACTGCTTTGACTCTCCTGGAGCCTGGATTATCTGCCTCCAGTTACAGGGGAGTAGCATAGATTTTGTCACTTCTCTCCAGCAATACATTTCCATGCAAATAGTTTGATTTCAGGTGTCCAGGTTTAGAGATCTCTGTCTCAGGCATTTCTGTTTCCATCCAAATCAATGGCTGCTTGAGTAACTCTCATCTTTTTTTTAGTTTGTCTACCTTTACATACATTTGTAGTACCTCTCCTGAACTTAACTTGTTTTGTCTCTTTATTTCTTTGACCTGTTATTACTAGAATCAGTGTTATTTTGTTTACTTGGGTCCTGTTAATGTCTTGTTTTCTACATCACATTTGATTTCCTAATTTGTTGATTTTAATTTGCTGTCTTGTGTAATGCACAAGGGCTGAAAAGGGCTCTATTGAATAAGACTATTGTGAGTAGATTTTAGTTTGTGGTAGTCACAGCCATGAAAAATGAGCCACATCTCTTTCCAGAAGCAGTGTCTTGTTACTTTGGATACACCACAGTTTTCATAAGGGTTATGCTTCCAGTAAAAGGTCAAGGATAAACATCCATCAGACTAGGGCTGGGCAATATAATGACTGTATAATATATTGATATATTTTCAAGCAAGTTGTAGATTTGGACAATACTTTTTATATCGATATAGGGTCAAGTTTGCATTACATAACGCTGTTCTTCTGAAAAGCCATGCCAGTGTGCACCTCTCCTCTCTTGCACTCTCTGCACAGCTCCGCACCACTCACTCACTCACTCACTCACTCACTCACTCACTCACTCACTCACTCACTCACTCACTCACTCACTCACTCACTCACTCACTCACTCACCAGTTCTCCAGCAACACTAACTGTGCATTCCCACCAAAAGCTTCATGGTCACCTGCGGACACTCTGGTCACTCTGACATCGCTCACACTGCCAGCTCTAGCAGGCACTTGCAGTGGCCAAAGGGGCGGGGCCAGGCGCTGCAGATGTGTTCATCTAGGCTGACCGGCTGTGCACTTTACAAGGATGAACAAATATACTATCATTTATGTCTTCACTATGTATCATTCATGACTTTCATTACACAATTAAAATAATGCTAATAAACACAGTCATATAACCTTTATGAGTCTTTTATTATTATGATTTTACCCTCCTGTTGGCACGTAGGAGCTCATGGATCGCACTTTTGGAAGCCTCCTTTGTATTGCATCGGCGTATTTGCTGAGGAAATGTAGGGCCCGGAGCCGTTGGGCCATCTGGGTCCACAGAGTCCTGCAAACCCGGCAACTCCACCGGGGACTTTCACCGGCTGGTACAGCTCCGGGAAAGCCCAGACCGTGCTGATAAGTTTCTCCTCCATATTTGTCTTCTCTCTCAATTTTGCCCGGCCTTGCCTTGAGAACCCCAGTCGGCAATTGGCAGCTGTCTCGGTGGCGGCGCTGCTCATTTGCATAAAATTCAGCTTCTCTCAACTTATACTTGACTCTCTGGTCGCTGATATTGCGCCACTCGCTGCAGCCGACGCCCTTCGTTGCCAGCGTGCATTGAAAATGAATGGCTGCCGGCCGTTTATGAATTGGGACCCACGGTACGATACCAGTGAAAGTATCACGGTTCTGAGTAGTATCACGATACCACTGCAAAAATTAGGCAGATGTGCCTTTTGTCATTTATAAAAAGATAAATCACTTTTCTATAATACATCGATATTCCAATGGCATAAATTACTTACTGACTTATTCATACTTCAAAAACAGCATCAATAAGTGATTAACATAGGGGGATCAAAATAAAATATATAAATAAAATAAAAATCAACCAGCCACCCTCCTCCTCTGATAAGTTAAAGGGATAGTGCACCCAAAAATGAAAATTCAGCCATTATCTACTCACCCATATGCTGAGGGAGGCTCTGGTGAAGTTTTAAAGTCCTCACAACACTTACGGAAATCCGAGGGAGAAGTGGCTAGCAGCACAACTGCACACCTAATGGCTGACGGCGACCCAGATCCAGAGCCTCCCTCGGCATATGGGTGAGTAGATAATGGCTGAATTTTCATTTTTGGGTGCACTATCCCTTTATGAACAGTCCCTTCAGGGCGGTGAGGTTTGTGGACCGTTACCTGCCACAAATAGAGAAACGTGAATGGCTTGTTTCTCCTCTGACACGTCACATACCTGTGTGCCGCCACGGCTCAACTGTTCAGGTACTTCTGGGCAATCATGACACCAACGAAGAGGAAATTATTGGACCTGGAGCCAGGCTTTTCTGTCGCTGGTAAGCCGTTATCTGGCGGTAGCCATAGTGCTCCGCCGTATTTCTGTCTGTGACCCTCCGTTCAACCCACAACCGGCAGGATTCGCCTTTCGTTTCTGCTGCTGGTTGAAATCTGTACTTGCACAGCGTGCTCCTGAATGATTTCTTTTGCTCGCACAAAACTATTTTTAGTCGCAAATGCGAGTAAAATGCTCTCACCGTAGAACTCTGTAGTGGAAAATAAATCACTGTAGCATATATAAACAAATCTAGCCTACAAGTAAAAAGAAATTAATAATAACTTTCACTGCTTAAAGATACTCAATAGCTCAGCTCATACCTGAAATGTCACTGGTAAACAAACCACTGCAGCAGCATATTAAGTACCAGGTGNTCTCTTTATTTCTTTGACCTGTTATTACTAGAATCAGTGTTATTTTGTTTACTTGGGTCCTGTTAATGTCTTGTTTTCTACATCACATTTGATTTTAGTCGCAAATGCGAGTAAAATGCTCTCACCGTAGAGCTCTGTAGTGGAAAATAAATCACTGTAGCATATATAAACAAATCTAGCCTACAAGTAAAAAGAAATTAATAATAACTTTCACTTAAAGATACTCAATAGCTCAGCTCATACCTGAAATGTCACTGGAACACAAACCACTGCAGCAGCATATTAAGTACCAGGTGGCCAGCGTGCGCCGTTATTGGGCGGCACATGGACACTCACCCTCTTGCGATTGGACTTTGAACTTATCCCACAGTAGAGGTACCGTAAGGTACCATGAGGTACCGCGGTACTACGGTACTCCAACATTATGTATCATTATGTACCGTGGTGTTTTAGTACCACGTTCTACCGTTGGTACCAGTATACCGTGCAACACTATTATGTAACATTAAAATCGGCACCTGATGGGTTTAAAAAATGCAGCAACAACACAGACATTTCATATACAAGACGTATAACGCGGACCAAGTGTCTCTCCCTCGGCCTCTCTGTTGATGCTTTATGCATAAATAAGATAAATAGCCTAATTAAATAAAGATATATCAATCATTTTCCAGCACTAGATTCATTTGAAAAGCCATGGAAAATGACTTTTTAACTCCCCCACAAAGATTTTTAATCATTTGAAACCTACTAGATACTTCTGTACCCATGTTATAGATTTGTGTCCCGTGCTGTAAATCTTTAAACCTCTGTAGCTCCAGTGCTATGTCCACAACATTATTGTACAGTCTTGGTATTTATTTTATATCTTTTTTTTTTTTTTTTTAACATGTTGTGCAGTTGTCTGTTTTCAAACAGCGAAAAATCCCTGTCCTTACATTTTATTTTGATCTGTTTTTTTAAAAGTGCTTGTAACATCCCACATGTGGCTTTGACTTGCAACTGAGCATGTAGCTCATTTCATAGAAAATACAGAGATATGAATTTTAGTCCATATCACCCAGCCCTACATCAGACTATTAAGGTATTTTTGCACATCTATACTTCACAATACTGATGCATTTTCCAGTCTTCTGTGCAACCTTTCAGGCAGCAACTGGTTTCCCGTTTGGAAATCACCCTGTACAGACCTGACAAACAGTATCATTCCTTACAGGGAACATCATGACTGTTGATTTTTTGTCAAGGTTTTGCTTTGCTATGAATGCAAAAATGTTTCGAAAATTGTATCATGTGACAGTAACTTTGACTTCAGGTATGCTTGGGAAAAGTAATAATACAAGTAGACGTTATTTGTAATTACTGTTAAAGCTGTTCTGTTATTTGACTTTACCCAGAGTCAATGTATCTACATTACTAAGGATTATTTATCAAAATTCCCATTGTACAAATATTTTGTGAAAGCACAAATAGTCACCCTACAATATCATCACAATATGAATATTGTGGTATTTGGTCCAAATTATTGTGATATGTGATTTTCTCAACATCTCCCAGTCCCATTTATAAGTCATCTAAACGACGAAATACAAGGTGTCCGTTTGTTTGTAGCATCAATATGCTCCTGCTGTCACCCTGACATATTCAAAAGCTTCTGTGAAGGCACTGCCCACTTATCAGAAATTGGGATTTTAATAATGTGAAGTGATAGCTAATATGACAGAGTCTTCAAACTGGATAAGTGGAACTTACCACAACTATTTAACATTCTGAAGAGGAACAAGGAGTCTTACACAATCTGCTTTTTCATATGAAGCAACAGCATTGTCACACCTTCAACCACAGGCAGATTGCAAACACAACTTTCCAGGTCCAAAGTACAAACTCACAAATAAGACCTCAAAATGATTCTAAATAAGTGATAGGATTTCCATTAAAACTGTCAGCTTTTCATTGGTGATCTCTGCTTACCGATTCCAGCCTGACCCACGATCCATGACATGCGGATGAAGAGCATCACACCCCAAATGTTCAACATGCAGCGGACCTGCAGAGAGGAGGGACTGTTATTTTTCCTGTGATGGCAAGGTTTTACTTATAGTTTTCCACCATTATAATATCTGCGTGAACTTCTAATGCTTAACTGAAACACATAGCAAGATTTCAATATACATTTTTAGGGAAAGATTGAGAAAAGGGTCAAGAACAAAGTTACAGCAGCATGTGGCTCATGCCAGTGAGAGGTAGCTGTCTAAAATCATAGACTGTAAAAATAGTGGACATAGCCACCATGACATCACCCATTGGTTTGTAGGGCTCCTGTTTTAAAGCCTCAAGTTCAGCATTTTGGCTGTTCCAAGAAGTGTCCTTGGGGGAGAGGCAAGCACTGTTGAGGAGTGAGGGGTGGATCTGACTAAGAGTCCAAGGACCCAATCAGCAGACAGCCCCATCCCTAATCATGCGTAACTTTGAGCGGTATTAAAATGTAAACAAGTGAGTTATGTAAAAATTCAACCCCCGTTCAGTTGTCATGAAGGGGAAAAACATCTACAGGGACTGAAGCCAGTGTTTTATTAGTTTGTTTGTTTTTTTAAAAGCGAATACATTTGCATTTTCTTCTGCCAACATTCTAAAAATTGAGTTAAAATTTGCATTGCATTGGGATGGAAACCCAAATTGTGAGATTCAACGACCTGAAAAGTCAAAAAGGCTCAAGCACACACATGCACACACTATTAGACACAGCACTGAGTTAGACAGAACAGCTGGACAGATAGCAGGCTGCCTGCTTCGCAGTCAAATCCATCCCTCGCTCCTCCACAGCTCCACTTTCTCATTCAGCTATGGTCACATCTGGCTCCAAAACACCAAGATGACAATGGCTGAAATGCTGAACTCAAGGCTTCAAAACGGGTCTACAAACCAATGGGTGACATCACAGTAGTTATGTCCATTTTTTCACAGTGTATGTGTTTAATACATTAAAGCCTCTGATGGGGGAAAATTTGACAAAATTTGAGCAGTAAATTCTAAAAAAAAAAAAATTGTGTGAGAAAAAAAAAGCAATGTTACGAGATAAAGACTTAGTTTGAAAAAGAGAAGTCATATTACTTGAATAAGGCTGGAATGTAAACAAAATAACACGAGCAGCAAGTGAAAAAGTCACAATATTATCAAAATTAAGTGTGAATATTTAGAGAAGGCTGCAATACAACAAAACTGAAAATAACCATTTATTGTCATAATACTGGTATTTCACTTTTTCACAACATTTCAACTTCAATTTCTGATCTCAAAGAATTACAGCTTTATTTTTATGACTTTTATCTCATACAATTAACTCTTTACTCTCATACCTTTTATCTTCTTATGACATTATACCTTTTGTTTTTTTTTTGTTTTTTGTTGAAGCCAAACTCATCAAAATCTAGTAATAATGGAAATACAAACAAAATCATTTCTGAACTACAACAAGGATTGTGCTCCTTTCATTGGTATTGATCGCCTGTATGTTGCTTACAAAACTGTTTTCCAAAGTGATCGCTATGTGTAGGTTAAAATGCTTCAACCCTGCAAATAGAGTCCTATCATCTTATTGTCTGCCTGCTTGTGACCAAACACAGACATAACGTCACATAATGCCATGAAGCCCTTCCAGCTGCAGGGGTACAGTTCTTCAGCTGACCCCCCTCTCCCAGCAAGGATCACCTGAGTACCTTATACATTACAATATCAGATGATATTATCCTGCACTGCTTGATAAAAGCCATTAGAAAGCCAGACACATGAGGATTAGTTTGAGGTTTATTTTAAAGAGGAAGTAAGGACTTTTCATGTCAAACTAAAACAAGGATGAGAATATCCAGACAAGTGTCATCATCTGCAGACTACGCTTTCAATAAAATTAAACAGCTGTCAAACAGAGCCCAACATGAACCACTTCTCTCACTGGACCTGAGTAACTATTTCCTCAGTAATAAAGCTACATTCGGGAATTTTTATAAAAATGATTTCCTGAAACTGTAACTGCATCCACACAGTATTACAGTATATGAGACAGATGGGATGTGTTCCGAATTGCATACTTTTTTTTTAAACATTTAGTAGGTGTTGCAGCTGCCCTTAAAAAGTATGTGCTGTATGCAGTATGCACACAAATGGGACATACTACTTTCTCATGACGCCCTGAACTTTGACACTCTTACTTTTAAATCTGTTACCTTAGATATAAAAGAAAAACGCCACTTACCAAGTTCGCCAGAGATGGAGATCAACCCAGAGAGCTCTGCCATTGTTACTTTGCAATGTATACAGTTTAACTTTAAAGTTATAACTACATAGACTGTAGATTCTAACATGATATTTGTGACAGGAAATTACTTCTACAGTTCTCTGTCATTGTTATTTTTATAGTTATGTGCTATTGTTGTTGGTAATATTCATGATTATTTTGTTCACTTACACAATTAATATTCCTATCATTACTTTTCGACTGGTCATCAGTTGCTTGAATGCACTGTCATTCATCATTACAACCTCTGGTAAATGTCAATCAGCTGTCATCTCTTTGCAGCTCAGTGGATGTGACGTATCTTTCACTGTGCAGAAAACTGGGTCAGAATAGCCAGAAAAGCATGCTGGCTTGCAAACTGCCAAATCGGACCAGATGTAGTAGAACATCCTGGTATTTTTGGTATATTGCATTTGACATACTATGTGTTCTATGTTATTTGTTCTGTACTAAATCTTTTTCTGGCATGCTATATAGTATGGGGACTGAAACGCACAGAAAGTCTGCCATGGTCCTCTTTGTGGTGCTTCTAATGGTATTTGCTAGAATCCACCACAGCTGTACGAAAACAGCCAATAGGAGTCTCATGTTTTAGTGTACTGTTTGGTTGGTATATTCGAATATTCGTTTCTATGGGTAGGTATTCGTTATGAAAATTTGGTATTCGATATTCGTTTTTTTTTTTAGTTTTTTTTTTTTTTAAAAATTTTTTCCCTTAACATATTTTTTGGTGCTAAATGTAGTCTTTTTGTTGTTGGTAAATGTAGGTTATCAATAAAAATTATAACTTTTAAATTGCATTGTTAAAAATGTGAAAATATAGTATAGCCTACTGGGCTTGTGCGCACGGCACGCTTGAGTGCATCCATCTGAGGCTGTGGATCAATGCCAAGTTTTACCACTTTATCACTATTCCCTCTAACTTGTAGCTGTTTTTTCGTTATCTTTTGAATTTAATATGAATTATGGAACCATTTTTGTCAACGTTTGTTTCCCCCATTTTGTACAATAAATTACTAAACTTTCAACAAGTTTCTTTTGGAGTACGTTTTTTTGTGGTTTAAGAGCAAAGATCCTGTCGCCGCTGTGCAAAACTCCGCAATACAACTAGGTCCGAAAAACCCCTGGAGTCAACACAGTAAAGGAATCTTGATTAATTTTTCATCAGTGCTGCCTAGTTTGACAGTTTGACTGCAGTTCACACGCAGTGGTAGTTTCAGCAAATATGTCCAAAAGTTCTTTTAATAGAAGTGTAGAGCTGTAGTTTTAACAACCAACTAGCCAACCAGCCACTACCTAAGCCACAAGTGATTCACACTGATGGTCCAAAATCCTTAACAGAGTGTCATCTATTTACACATAAACTTCAAATGATACAGTGGCACACCTGTGATCCACTTCTTTGAATATAACTGACCACTTGGACCTATGAACAGAGTGGGACTATGAGAACACAACATGAAGACCTACACACATCAAAATTGTTGTCCCTAATTATAGAAAAGCTCCAAATTTAAGACATTTATTGGTAAGGTAGACATACAGTAAAGCTATTCCTCTTCCAGGATGCAAGCTGCAAAAAGTTAAGTAACATTTAGTTTCTTTTGTGCAGCTTGTTTAGTGCTAATATTTTTGTTACTTTTAGTTTTGCTTTCTTATACATGCTGCTGTGCACTGTGATGATGGTCTCATCTCACTCATCCGAACTCTTCTGATCAAAAAATACATATCTTTGAATGTATCATATATATTACTTTCAATAAGCTTTAGTAGTTTTGGCTCACAATACAATTCATCACACCTTTAACAGCACAAAAGCAGTAGCAGTAGCTGTTTTACTGATTCTAACAGTAGCACAAATATGATGTGTTTTCTGAAACTTTCAGATATTCTCTGACTTTACTCTGGGATTTTGGCAGTGCTTTTGAATGACTTGAAGAAATCTCTTAGAAAACAACAAGTAATGAACAGAGAAGACTTAGTGACAACAAAAGAAGCAGGGCTTGAAAGAAATCATTGTATTGTAAAAAGGTGACTCACCAGCACTCCCTTAATCCAGCCAAACTTGACCACACCTTTGGAGTCGGCTGCTTCTTTAGCAGCAGCCTCCTCAGCTGGAGTCAGCTCATCACCATTGGCAAACCCATCCTCAAATGGCTCCTAAAAACACAAAAAATAAAATCATGTTTATGCTGAGAAATATTGGTTTTGTTCTCCATAGCTCACTGAGCAGACATTTTGACAGTTATTCTTCATGATACCCTGAAGTGTTGAATCCTAGGTGTAGCTGTGGTGGGACAATCCCCATGTGTGACTGGCTGAGACAAATGTCAATCCTTGACAGACCAGGATACCCTGAGGATAGACCAACCTTATCATGTGAATGGATTTCCATCTATCCATCCATCCATCCATCCATCTATCCATCAATGAATCTAAGAATCAGGATACCCTGATGAAGACTGGTATGATTCAGGATACCCTGATGAAGAATGTCTACAGTCGAAATGCATTGGTCTATCCCATGTGACTAAAGGATTTTTAAATATAATCAGAGTGCCTTTTATGCCTTTTTTGACTGCCAGCCCACAACATGGACTTCTACACTGAGAGTGAGCTGAGACAGTCATTGCTTTTTATTCCTATGTGCTCATTTGCCCTATCCTTGACAAGCACCTTGATTTTTTACAATTTACCTACACCTAGTGTCTTGACCCAGTGCAGCACTCCCCAATTTTTTCTTGTGCAAATACCAGTTGTGACTTCTCTACATCAGTGCTTCATTCATTTTAATGGCAAGTCAGATTAGGGCTGGTTAAGTGTATGGGTTTCATAGTACATGCTGCTAAATCAATACACATTTGATGTGAGCATTTTCAAAGTTCAAATGTGACCTTGTAACAGATTAAAGACTGCTCTGCTCAATTTTGGACATTGTACAAAATGTAGTGATCTGACTTGGCTGTATTTCCATGGATTACCTGGGATCATTTTAATCAGCACCACAATATGAAAGGACATTAAGAAAGGAAATAATCATGTCGTGTAAACTTGTTAAGACCCACTGGCTGGTCTAATTTATCTTTCAGCAGACAGACACACAGACAGAGCATGTCAGTCCTTGTGTTACCACAGCAGTTAAAACACAGGAAGCATCCCTCCTGTGCACAGACAATGCTGTGAAGTTGGTGGCCTCCCTGCTAGGACTCTCTGGGTATACAGCACACTGTCCTTTCTGAATTTATAGCACTTGTAACCACAGGACGTCCACAAACCAATCCCATGTGCTTGTTTAGAAGCTTTCATCACAGCATTTCCTGGCCGGGAAGATTGTACATAATATGGTGTCAGGAAAAATAAGCTTTACAGCAGGACTGCAGAACAATCCTGACATACTTTACAACAGCTCAATAAAAGTGAGTCATTACTAGGGCTCTACTAACTAGTTTGAAGCTTCATTCATAACTTTGACATTCCAATTCTAAATCAACACTTAAATGCTGCACAGCTTCTTTTTTGCATGTCTGTTCATTCTGTTTAAACCTGGTTTCTGCACGGTTGCAGGTGTAAGACTAGGCTACTCAAATATTGTTAGAATCAGACTCTAATGGAGGCTGTGGTTACTGACTCCTGTGATCCAAACATTTCCAATCATTCACAGACTTAATCATTTCCAAAAATTTACAACATGTTTTTATCTATCTATCTATCTATCTATCTATCTATCTATTCTCTATCTCTCTATCTATATGTATATAAATGTGTGTGTGTGTGTATACACATATATATACAATACAGGCCAAAAGTTTGGACACACCTTCTCATTCAATGCGTTTTCTTTATTTTCATGACTATTTACATTGTAGATTCTCACTGAAGGCATCAAAACTATGAATGAACACATGTGGAGTTATGTACTTAACAAAAAAAGGTGAAATAACTGAAAACATGTTTTATATTCTAGTTTCTTCAAAATAGCCACCCTTTGCTCTGATTACTGCTTTGCACACTCTTGGCATTCTCTCCATGAGCTTCAAGAGGTAGTCACCTGAAATGGTTTNATAGATGTTCATGGCACGGTAAGGATTGACGGACACCACCACCTCTCCGATGTAGCTGTAGATCCTCCCCTTCTCAAACCTGAGGACACACAGAATGGGCGATTTAGAAATATAATCAGATATCAGATATAAATTTGTCTTTGACCATTTAACGAAATTATGACTCCAGAAATACTCTGAATTACTCATTCTGCATTTCTGAGGCATTACTGTGTTCAAGGAAGTAAAACAACACTGGCGCTCTGCACTTTCACTTCCTTTGTTTATAGGCATTTATACATGGAATGAAAACAAACAACTCCACCCAGGTTCAGTTCAAAGAATATTTTGGACTTCATACTTGATGAACCAAAGCCTTATTTTATGCCTAAAAATTTGGAGATACAGTGCCTACAGTGTACAATGTACATAACCTTGGATACAGGGAGCACACGAACACAGTTTGTAAAGTCACATGCACTGAAATTCAAGGACTTGGTCAAACTGACATAAATGTTCACTTCTTCCTACTCCTTTATGAGCTGTTTATGTTTTGTTTTTATTTTTTGTTTTGCAGGAAATAAAGTCATTCATTCATTTGTCATTAAAGGTACAACCGAACTTTTGAGAACTGATACCATCCTGGTTTCGGTACAGTCAGATATGAGACCTATTATGCTCTTCCTTATTTTCTGTCAAATATATAATGTACATTATCGGATGTTTATATTAAATTTAAAAAGTTCAAAAGGTTTTTATTGTCAATTTGCTATATGTGCAGGACATACAGAGAATCGAAATGCTGTTTCCCTCTCACTTAGTACTAATGTTAAAAAAAAAAAAGCTAAATTGGAATAATAATAATAATACAATAGAAACAATATATACAAGTAAAATAAAAATAAGCAGTTTAACCAAAAGACAAGACACTCTAGAAGATATTCTAAACCTATGTACAATCAAAGTGCTCAAGGTGCATATTAGAGCAGCCTATGGGATGTACGTGATGTACGTAGTGCAGCAGATACGGAGTGGTGCAATGGTTAAAGTAAACCTGGCCAAAGTTTCAAATAATGAGGACGACAAATGATGATCAGCAAACTTCTTGTTTCTTTTTTCATGTGTGTGTCCCGATGTGATCATTCTGTGCCCCCTCTGTAAAGTCGGAGGTGTTTGTGGGTCCACTCAGGTGGAACTCTTCATGAGCTTCCACTTTGATGCCAGCATCACTACACAGGAGTGGAAATGTATGCACACATATTGTTGAAATTGCACTTCATTTTCTCAAGATATCTCAGGCAGTTCACTTTTGTTTTGTAAAAGCATGAATGTTTTCCAAATTAACTTCTTCACACTGAAAGAAAAGGAAACATTTGGAGGTGTTGTAATTCATACAGTAGGTTATCATGCCATGATTCTACAGGTCTGATCCACTTGAGACAGTGGCGCAGATGGGATTTTTATACATACACACATAAACACACACACACACACACACACACATATATATACATATACACATACATATATACATACATACATATACATATACATATAGGAGGACCATTAATGTTCAGTAAATGTCAAAGCAGTCACATTTCTCATGCACACTCAGGAGGCATCTCCTCTGCACAAGATAAACAAACGGGGAACCACTCATCAAAAACAGCTCCCTGGCACTACATGTGTTTACATAGGTGGCAGGCTGGCACCTGCACTACATGAGTACTAACACTTCACATGTAACCTTTAATGGAAACACAGCCATTATCCTGTCAAATAAATTGGTTAAGTGGTCTAAAATTGGCGCTAATGGAATAGATTGCATTTAGGGATGTGCAACTGTACATTTCTTGACAGATACCAAATCAGTGCTTCTTTTGATATGTTGAGAATTATTAGCCTGGTTTTGTATAAATGTCTTTTTCAAGAAATAAAATAAGCCAATGTTAATAACAGAGCCAAATCTACAGACGAGCAGCTGAACAATATCTTTGCCTCTAGTGTCACAAAAGACTCAATCTACCCTGGACGATCTGTCCAGATGTATCATTTACATTCCCATTTGAAATGGTGTCTTTTTACACTGGTGTTTTATGTTGAGACAGTTGTCTTTGGGTGATGACCTTGGGTTTATGGATCCTGTAAAATGACACAGGAAAAGCACTGTGTCATTTAAAAGTAGTGCAAAGTTTGGTGAAATGGCTTTGCCCAGCTGTGCAGACCACCCTCATTGATCAACTTAATGAGTGTATCCCTCTGGGTCCATGTCCACTGATAAGGACAGTAATGTACACAGCCCAAAAGTGGCAATCACTGACTAATTTTACATAGTAACAGTTTTTACTGATGCATATTATGAGGATACTAAGCAAAGAGCCTTTATTTAAGAATAGTTTGTTGACAATTACTGATGTAACGGTAAGTCATATCCAGTACTCGAGTTGAGGGGGGATGAGGGGGGGATGGCAACCCCCTTGAAATAAAAACGGTCAACATCATCCCCCTTCTAAAACTGCCATCCCCCTTTCCATCCCTTGTGTCTCCGCAACCGTGCGTCGTAGCAAGAAGCTACTGAGATCACGTGAAACAGCAGAACCGCAGCTTTCCGACAAGACCAAGCACTTGTTGGTAGTCCAATGTTTGCACAGCGAAAAAATTATAAAATTACACTAAAATGATGTATAACAGAGCTTTCATACAGCTTTGCACACACATTACTCTTGGATGGATTACTCACAAATGCAGGGTCGCACAGAAATGCCACGCATATCCAAGGCCGGCTCTACGCAGGGGCAAGAGGGGGCAATGCCCCCTTAAACAAATGTCTTGCCCCCTCAAATCAAATCCGCCGAAAAAGGCACAAAACAGAAAAGTTTTCTCATCTGTCTCCACTCCACTCCGTGCTGTGTGTCGGCTATGGAAGGAAAGATATTTTTCTTTTATTTTTTCTTAATTTTTATTTTATTTTTTGTTTATTTTATTTTTCAGTTTTCCTCCCTGAGGGATTGCCACCTTATTGTGGTCAGGGGGTTTGTGTGCCTCAGTGACACTAAGAGCTATACCAGCAGGAGCTTAGTCTTCAGGTGGGTGTGCATATCACATGAAAGCGCAGGACCA